AAAAGTGGTGAGTGAGCTTGCAGAAAAAGTATCAGAAAGGAAACCAGAGGTAAACTGTTCCACTGCCACCTCTTGCTGAACTTACATTCACCTGTAGTTGGGTGAGGCATTGCCTGATGAGAACACTTTGGTCCATGCTGGCATTGCATGTACCAGCTGATAGATAGGTGTTAGCTTGTTCCTCATCAGAATGGTTTCTCACCACAGTCTGGGATTTGCTGCCTGGTTGTTCTTTACCCTCCTGAACTATGAAAGGGTTCAATATTACTGTTAAAATAATGTTGATGTTCTCCTCCCCCTTTGCAGGATGAGACAGAAAAGAAGGATGAAAAAGAAAAGAAAAAAGAGCCTGAACCCAACTTCCAGCTTCTGGACAACCCAGCAAGAGTCATGCCTGCTCAGCTCAAAGTTCTCACTATGACAGAGAGCTGCCGATACCAGCCTTTCAAACCAGTAAGTGTCATCTACCTAGTCCATGTGTTTAACAGTGTTCCCAGGGCTGGGCTTGTGCCAGGACCCAGAATTTCTGCATGTCCGTGAGAGTGCCACTCTCAGCTGGTATCACTGTAATTAATGTCTGACAGAGATTTGCAGCTCCACTGTTGTCAAACCTGCTTTTTAGTGTCTCTCTCTCCAAATGATCACATGCAGTTCTAGTTGTAAGAAAGCCAGAGCTGCTGCAGACCTTTTCACCAGGCTAATGCTGCTTTATTTCTCTTTCTTCTACATATGACATGCTGTGACATGGAAACCAATCGGACGTACTCTGTATTAATGACATTGCTGGGGACATAAAGACTGAGCCGTGATTTTTACAGTGGGGTGAGAAGTTGTACAGATATCTTGCCAAAGCAGTGAAATACATTATGCCGTCTTCTGGGGCTATATTATCCTACAGTGGGATTTATAGCTAAATGGAAGGGGTTTTCCATTAAACAGATTTCATATTCGGTTACGTCTCACCTTAGAAAAAGTGCCTTTATCTCTGCTTAACACAGAAGAGATAGCATGTAGTTGTCAGGTGGATGATAGAAAAGATGTTTTTAGCATTAAGCCTAAGGGATAACTAACTTTTATGTGAGATGCTCAGATATATTGCAAAGCTAACAAGCTTGCTTTTGACCTCAAAATCTCCTGAGTCAAATTCTTTTGACCTTTATTTTTGTTCAAGAAATAACACCCTGGACTTTTTCTTTTTGCAGGATTATGCATGGGGAAAATGGTGTTCAGAAGAATTAATATTTTTTCCAGGAAAATAGTAATGTTTTTAGTAAATTGATTTATCAGAATAATATCAGCACATTAGAATTCTCTGTACATCATCCCCTTTAGCAAAGTTGTGGAAGGATATTTTAGTTTCTACCCCTGAAAAAGAGGAGGTGACCCAAGTGATATTTGGATTGGGAAGATCTGTTACATGGTCCAGTAATTGTCCATTCATGCAGCTGAAATATGGAGGTCACCTAGCTGTTTGCTTCAGTTTCAAAAGAAGTCAAGTCCTTGGTGAGGGGAGGAGCGCAGTTTCCAGCCTTAAACTCCCATAAATAGGTTTTGAAGAGAGCAGAACAGTGTGGGTTTTTGCTGGCATTAGGGTGTGTAACCAAGGAGGCTTTTGAAATGGAGCTGTTCCAGACCTTTGCTCTGCTTTGGGGAATGCCAGAGTAAAAGGCATCTTTTAAATGCTGTTTATAGCCTGGAATCCTGCTGTAGTCAAAGCCCTGATTCCAGACAGGCATGACACAGCACTGCCTCTTTGCACCTTGTGTTTCAGTCCTGGAGACGCACAAATCTGGTTCAGCCTGCCAGGATGTTTGGTTGTGATCTTTGCAATTAATTTCCTTTTTTTTTATGAGGTTCTGCTAAATAGGATTCCTCAGTTGGTGGAAGCTGGTGATCAGATTACGCTCTGTTTCAGATAGCCTCTTGGGAGGCAGCTACACATAGAGGCTTCACTAAGCTTTGTTGCCCTGAAAAGAAGAGCCTTATAAAGCAATTATAGTTCCATTAGTTTACACATGGAAAGCCCCAGACTGGAACTGGTGTAAAGCTGTGAATCCAGATGCCATTTTCTGTTGAACTGAGACTTAGATAGTGGAAATACAAAAGGTGGCCTGGATAGACTCTGTGCCATCCCCTTACCAGGCAGGGATCCAGGTGAGTGTCAGATGCTTTGCTCTCTGAAACTCATTGATGCTGAGGTGTGTCATATGGCCTGCTCTCCCAGTTTTGGCTAGGATAGAGTTAATTTTCTTCCTAGTAGCTGGTACAATGCTGTGTTTTGGCTTTAGTTTGAGAATTATGTTGATAACACACCAGTGTTTTAGTTGTTGCTAAGTAATGCTTACCCTGATGGACTTTTCAGTCTCTCATGCTCTGCCAGTGAGGAGGGGCACAAGAAGTCGGGAGGAAGTAGAGATGGGACAGCTGATCTGCACTAGCCAAAGGGATATGCTGGGAGGAAGCAGAGACAGGACAGCTGACCTGCACTAGCCAAAGGGATATATCATACCATAGATCATCATGCTTGGTATATAAACTGGGGAGGGTTGGCCAGAAGGGGCCGGTTACTGCTCAGGGACGATCTGGGTATCAGTCCGTGGGTAGTGAGTATCGTGTATCACTGTTGTTTGTTGGTTTGTGGTGTTTTTTTTTTATCTATCTCTTTTTGTTGTTTCCCTTTTTTATTATTATTAGTAGTAGTAGTAGTATTATAACTGATTTTAATTTTTAAACTGTTCTTATCTCAAGCCACAGGTTTTATCTTTTTTCCAGTTCTCCCCATCTCACTGGGGGCAGGAGTAATTGAGCAAGCAGCTGTATGGTACTTAGTTGCCAGCTGGGCTTAAACCACAACACCAAGGATAAACGCTGTGGCCACGAACAGTCCATCATGAGGTAGAGGCAAGCAGCGCTAATGCTCACTGTGTTTGTCTTGCAGCTTTCCATCGGAGGCATCATCATTCTGAAGGACACCAGTGAGGATACGGAGGAGCTGGTTGAACCTGTGGCAGCTCACGGTCCGAAGATTGAGGAAGAGGAACAGGAACCTGAACCACCAGAACCCTTTGAGTACATTGATGATTAAGACCTGAGGTACAGTGTACTGTGCAGAGTCATCTTTATTAGTCCCAATGAAGGAAAAGCCTCTTTGGATCAACTAAAGCAATTACCAACACCTAGCACTCTTGTTTTAGCTCTTGGACAGCTTCTGCGCCAGGTTGAGAAATATGCTTTATTCTGATTTGAAGATTTTGGCAGCAATAAAAGAGAAATCCACTCTTCTGGGTCATGCCTGACCTGCTTGTACTGGATCTGGTCTCTAATCTCGCAGGCCTGGCTGCTCTTGGGTAGAGCCTTGCCAGGCAGAGTTAGAGCCGTGCATGGGTTTACAGGCAACAGTTGAGATGGGAATAATCAGCTCATGAAAACGATCCCAGAGGTGCAAGTGGTTTATGTAACAAAGCTGTCATCTACTTGACCTCAGTGTAGCAGGATTGGTTGAAATCGAACTACTAGTCCCCTTTCTGGGGTTGTCTTGCTTTCCCAGCAGTTCTTAGAAGAATTTAAAGACACTCCAGTCATGGGCTGTATGGTGCTTTCTAAACCTGACTCATAGATCTGTTCCAGGCAGTGAATGGTGTGGTTCTCAGGTTCCTTGGCTAAAGTGCCTGAACTGGTATTCAAGTTTCTCAGTGAGAGGCAGAAACCCAGTTGCTTTATTTCCAAATATGGGCTGGCATTTCCCAGTGGTCCCAAGAGCAGAGAATATGGACTTGAATTGGTGGATAAGCAGCAAAATAAACTTCTTAAAAACTGTAAATGTTGCATCAGTGGCAGGCTTGGGTGAGTGTTTGGGGTCAACCACAAGAAGCCTTAGTTAAATACATTTGCTTTCTTGGTTTCTCTTTCCCCTCCTCCAGTGTCATGAACTCTAAAGAAGACACTATGCTTGATACCAGAAAGACAGACATGAAGACCTTCCTATCAAGATCTGCTGTTCAGTGCATGCAGCCCCAATCTGTGCTGAGCTAAAACTGATAGTCCGTGTTTTATGGCTGAAGAACAGATATATGCTATTTAGTGTACTCTTTCACAAAACCTTGTTTTCAAATAAATATATTAAAAATTCTTGACAGAAAACTTACTGCTTTAAAAAAAGAAAAAAGAAGCCTAACAGCTCACTCCAAATGTTAAAAACTAGACCCAAGTTGTGCATCTTCCTCCAGCAAAGCTGGACTGACTCTGCTCTGTAGAGTCGTGAGGATCTGTGTAGACCTCTACTTTCTCGAGCACTGACATAGGCTAGGCAACGTCACCAACTCTGGTCTGGCCCAACCACAGCACTGCTGCTACAGAGAGGGCAAGTCTCTACTTGACAGCAGCTGTCCAGATGAGGTCTGCATCCAAATTACCTCTGTGATACTAACTTTGCACTGATTTTCCCCCTTGTTCGTCCTTGTATTCATGTGATGGTGTGGGGCTGACAGAAGGGTTGTGGGTGTTAGTGATGGGGAAATGAGGCCATGTTTCTCTTTGTTTCACAGACTCCCTTTTCTTTGTCCTGTGTGCTTTCACCAAATATGAGCATAACAGCTCATGTGAGCATAGCTAGAAAACATTACAGGCCTAGATGATGTGAATCTGGACATGCAGGTTGTTACACTGATGTGCATCGTTAGCCAAGGGGGGGATTTACAGTCAGGGGTATGGAATGAGCAGCAGTCAGAAGGAAGGAATGCTGCTCCACCATTCACACTGCAGCCAGCCCTTCACCTGGTGAGCTGGAACACTTCAAAGGATGCACACCAGCGAGCCAGAGCCTGCAGCCGTGGTCAGCTGTAAGCCAAATGCTGGACGAAGCTCCATCAGTTGGAACAGCACTTAAACAGAATGAGGGGCTTATTGTATGTATGTTGAGAATATTTTGCTCCATGTGAACATACCACAAGCTCATGTGCATCAGTAATAATGGAAGACAAATCATGCATGTAGTGCCTGGAAGCTTTTCCAGCCGATGGTTTATTTTGGCGAATGTTACTGTAGTACTGTAGCAATAGAATAGCCTGCTATTGTTCTCTGAAAAGCTTAAGCAATACAGAGCAGAAATGTGGAGCCAAAAGCCAATTTTGAGTCTTAGGCTTCAATCAGAAGTCCCTGCAGTTGAAATGCCTCAGTAAGTGTCCAGATCTGTTCTCCCATGGAGCAGAGCCAAGAATGAACCTGAAATAGCTACAGACAATGTTACTGTTAGTAAAACTGGAAACAAAGAGGGGATCACTGCTTCAATCCCATGGACATTCAAAGTGAGAATTGTGGTGCAAGAAGTGGAAACTGGATAAATGTACATTGTGTAAGTCTTTCAGGTGCTGTAATCCCTTCCTTCTGAATGGGTACCGGGATCCCTTATTCCTGCACATTCTACTGGTACCAAATGGCGTGGTACATGGAGTTTTTCAGGTACCTTGTTAGTAATGCCTTGTGTCTTCTTACAAAATACTGTGTAGGGGGGAGGACGCTGGGAGGAGGAAAAGAAACCTCATTTCAGGTCACTCAGCAACCTGCCAGTTATTGCTGGGAGATCTCTAGAGTCTGAGTGGAAATGCTGGGAATAGCGGGCTCAGAAGGACCTAAAGTCCTATACTGATGCCTTGGCCAAGCTGTGAAGAGTCTGCTTCTATTCAATGGATCTTTTGCTGAGCCTTTGATACTAGAACAGACGTTTTCAGAGTAGCCAGTGTATACCTGGTGCTTGCTACAGGTTTAGTTCTGTGTGGCTGTGTAAATCTGTATGCACAGAGCAATTCCCACTGAGCTGTGTACTGCCTGGGGCACTATCCAGAAGACTTAATTCTTCTGCTAAATGATTTTCTTGTCCCTGTAAGATCAATCCTGCTTCTGGCAGTGATGTTTCCCAGAGCGCCCTTGGCACAAACAAACATAGAAACCTCACATAGCCCCAAACTGATTTCTGAGCTGCTACTCTGGAGCCAGGCACTAAGGTTACACTTGGGCAGTTGGATTTTTAGAGGAGATTTTGATGTCTGTGAAAGAAAAAGGCCATGTGTGCCAGGCTGGGGCACCAGGAGGGACGTTGAGAGTTGTCCTCACTTCCCCGGCTCTGCTGCTCGCTGCATTTTCCTCTAGAAATGTTCTGAAGATACAGCAGAAAACCCCTAGAAAGAGAAAATTCTAGAGAATGGCCAGGAAACCTCCATAAATCTTCTTGAAAGGTGCTGGAAGACCTCTGAGAAGGCTCTGGAAAGCTGCCTGGGGGTGGATCCTGCCCCTATGCTAAGGCATCTGACCAGTTTCCCTTGGGACAGATGGTGGCCAGCAACTGCAGAAGCAGCTCATTGCTGTGCTTGGGGGATGGAGGTCACTGCTGGCTGTTTGATCTCTAGTTTGGAGGATGCATGGTGGGAGCCTGCAAAGCTGTGGTGCTGCTTTAAATAATGTCATTTAGCCCCAGTGACTCATGAGTGCTGATTTCTTCAGAAGTGCTGCCCCTCCGGGCCTTCCTGGGGATGCTGTGGAGGGACCCACCCTCGGGCTGTTTGCCAGGGGCTAATTGGACCTAATGCTCCCGGGTTTGCCAGAGGAGCAGGAGAGGCTGAGGTGGCAGGAAGCATGCTTCTGTCCCTCCTGACTAATCGGCCTCATCCCCCTTAACCCTGGGGGAAAATAAATCACTCCAAAAGCATGCTGCTTCTGACAGATCCCAGAGTCCCTCCAGGAGGCCCTGGACATGCCCTCAGTCTCCCCTTTCCGCTTACTAACTTGGGTACAAGCCCCTTGCTTGGCACTGTGCTGGGGACCAAAGCAGAGATGAGTATGTGGAGGTATAGCTCCCAGGGCAAGGGGTCTTTGAGGAGGGGGACAACAGGCCCCATTGCACCTTTGCCCCAGCAGGCACTCAGTAGGTCTCATCCTCCCACCTCTTCCCCATTACAACAGTGCCACCATCCCCATCTCTCCCTTTCTTTCCAGGGCCAGGTGAAAGTCTTGCTCCTCCTAGTTCTACACAAAGGTTGGGCGCTGCTGATAATGATGATGATACTGATGGTTTATCTCCCTGTCTCCTGGAGGCTGGAACATCCCATACCCTTGCCTCTGCCAGACCCCAGCCTGCCCCAGTGCCTCCCCTGCCTGCTGCTCTCAGTGCTGGTGGCAGTTGTTTTGTTAGCCCACCTTAACCATACAGTACTAGCAGGATGAGGGAGATGGGGAGCACAGACACTGCAGGACTGTGCAAGGCTTGTGTTTACTTGCAACCTCTCATGGGACCAGTGGGCATTAAGGCCTTCCCCCAAGGGTGCTGATTTTTCCCCAGTGTGACTTCATATGGGAGCAAGGATCTTTGCTTCCTCAGGGAAGATAACTGGTATTGGCAGACCTGTTTCAACGTGTTTCTCCAGCACTGGTGCAACTGAGCAGGCCCTTGCTCTGTGTCTTGGGAGGAGAAGCTGCCCCAGCCCCTGCTGCTGGTCTCCAGCTCAGGTCTGGCTTCACTCGGCCTCTGAAGTTCTGTTCTGTGTGGGCAAATGGTCCAGCTGTCATTGGCCCAGATATGGAGTTTTGTTGTGAGGTCTGTACTCCAGTTCCTGGCATCGGCTGCACAACCAAAGCTCTGGTTTCACTCAGGACTGTGCAGATACTCAGGTGAGTCATCGGTGTCTCCTCCAGCAGGGGAGAATCAGCACTACAGAGAAGTGACTCGCAAATCCTGCTTCTGCCGAAGTCCACTGGAGATCAGCTAATGAGAGGTTCTAAAGACCATAACCCCTGACGTCTGAGCCCTATGCACTTGGTCTGATGGACCCTGCTGCCTGACAGCCCTCTGCATGTGTTTAAGCAGCATATATGTTTGGGTGGGTTTTTTTCTGTGTGTTTGCAAAGCATATGCAGAAAATGGACAGTGAAGGGTCTATACTATAAGGGTCCAGGTGAGGCAGGTCCTGGCAAGCATGAGGGGACACCCTAGGGCTTGCTGCCCACCGCCTTGGTGTAAGGCTGGTCAAGGGGAAGGGCAGTCGTTTAGTGGCAACAGCATCCCCAGCAAAGGCTATAAATAGCTGCTCTATGAGCCAGGGAATAACTCCTGCAAAGGCAAGGTTAATTATCAGCAGAAATTATGGGGACATTGTTCCTCCAAAGATAACCTGCAAAAGATGAAGCATGGAGCAAATTTTTCCCCTTCAGAGTGAAGGAAAAAGACCTGAAATATTGGTGCAGTGTCTTTGTTCTTAGCTTTAGGCTGGCTCTCCCATTTAATTGTATTCTTCATTCCGTGTCAGTGAGAACGAAGACGGATTAACTTTTTGTTCGACCCCCTCCCCCCCATGTCCTCCCAGAGGAGAAGCTGAGGTAGGGCAAATTCTCTGTTTAACTTCACACAGAGATCTTTAAGCACGAAATATGGGGCTCAGGGATGAACAAGAAGCAGCTGAAAATAATTTGCTGGAAACATCTACATTGGACAGCACAGCTTACGGGCTCATTCACAGATGAAACCTGCTGCTCGCTTCTCTTGCAGGCCCAGAGGTTTTGTGATTGGGTGGTGGCCATTGCTCTGTGCGGAGAGCAGCATCAAAGCTGTGCCCATGCAATGAAGGCAGTGAGCCTCGCTGGCACTGGGGGTGTTTCCCCTGATGATGAAGCTCTGTGCCCTGCTGTTTCTGTGCCCCTGCTCTCCCAGGCTATTTTTAACATACAACATTTTTTTAATGGAGCATCTGTAGCAATTCCCTCCTCCCAGACCCCTGCCATTTTTGGCTGGAAATCCTTGCTGTTACTGGAAGCCAAGCCCTCTCCAACACTGGTGTTCACCTTGGTTGGGGGCTTAATGACTCATGCCTCAAATGAGCACATGCCAGAAATCCCTGCTTTGCCCCCTCTGGGCTCAGGGCACTGAGCTGCCATCATTCCCCATGGAGGCACCCCCAGCCCTGCAAAGGCAGTCGATTAGTCTCTCCTGGTTGTCATCTCTGTCCCTGTAAGGATCTCTGAAGGATGATCTCTGCCACAGGTGGAAAGGTTCCATGGGCTGATCTGCTGTGAGCCTCCTTCATCATTTTGCAATTGAGCAGAAATGAGCATTTGGGGGATGCACCAGCCAGTTCCTCCTTCTTCCCTGCTTTGCAGTGAGCAGGTCAAGAGGCTTCTGGACCTCAAGGAGAGCTGAGTTCACCCTGTTGCCTCCTTCATGCATCCCATGGCACAAAATCAGCCTCCATTGTGCCTCTCCCTGGTCAGGGACTTTGGTTACAGGAAATTACTGAAGAAAGGGCTGCATATAAATAGCCTGGCATGGGCTGACCACATCCTTCTGGGGAGAGGTGAAACCTGAGGCTTGGCAGCAGGTAAAAAAGCCCCATCCATGGGAGACAAGAGCGGCTTTATGATAGACTGAAGCTGGAGTGAGCAGAGAGGTTTTGCAATTCCACTGCACTGGTTTTCATTGCAGGGGGCCCTGAGGAAGCACTGCTGTGTAATTCAGTATGAGAGCAGTGTCTGAACTACTGGGCAAGTGCCTTAGCTGAGTGCAGGACTTTAGTCCAAGCAAACCTGTCTGTCTCCCAGCCAGTCCCAGTAGGAGGCAGTCCATGCTCCAACCCAGTCAGCAATAATGTGTCATCAACTGAAAACTCAGATGACTTCTTATTTATTTATTTATTGCTCCTTCAAAGTATTCACTGAAAACCCAAACCAAAATTTGGTTTTGCAACTAAAAGCTGAAGTTCTACTCCAAAAATTACAGGATGTTAAAGCTTCAAAAAGCGTTCCTCTCTTGCCTGCTTGCTTTTAGTTTTAATGCAACCACTTGGAAAAGCTTCTGTGTGAAGACATTTCCTGCAAAACTTTCCAGTTGGGCACGGAGAATGGCCTTCTGTCTTCTTAATCCAGCAGAAGGGTACAATCCAGTTCAGGACCTGCAGAGCGGTGTGGTCTTCACTGGGGTTTCAGGAATCTGCTCTCCTGTCCCTTTGCCCCTGCTTGTTGTGATGTGCTTGCTGGGAGTGTGGAGGAAGCCTGAAGAACACAGGTGAGGTTTCTCCTGATTTGCTGGGGAAGCTCCTCCCCTAGCAGGATTTCTTTAAGTGAGAACATCTCGCAGGCATATTGAGTTAGGGAATGAGATGTTTTTAGGGGCCTCTGGCAACGGCAGAGTTGATAGGTGAAGTGACCTGTTTCTGGCGCCTTTTCACCCATAACATGAAACACAAGTAAGTAAAAACTGGGCAACTTGGCACAACTCTGGTTCAAATAATTGCTCTGTCTGTCCCTTATCGGGACAAGCATAACTTGAAGAAGCAAAGCATGGGAGAGGGCATAGATTTGTCAAAGCTGCCTCTGTCCCTCATAAGATATTTAACATCTCCCTTTCCCAAAGAGCAGCAGTCTGCCTCAGTATTTTATCCACAAATACCAAACCAGAGTTGAAATAACTCCCACGGGTTATGGATGGAGTGCTAGTTCCTGTTCACCATCCATCATAACTCTGCTTCCCATCACCTCACCCTTTCCAAATATTTCACCAGTCAAGCTGGTAATTTTAGACCTTGCAAGAATGTTCAAGGGTGATATTTTTATTTTTTTTTCCTGTTCCTTAGATGTTTGTTGTTCATGGGTTTGGGGGGAGGGGGTTGTGGTTTTGGGTTTGGGTGTTGTTTTTTTTTTTGGGGGGGGTGGTGGTGGTGTTTGTTTGTTTGAATTAGTTAAGGAGAACACCACCCTTAGATCATGGCCAAGGGAGGATGGTCGCCTGAACTGTATTCACCCACACTGGTGTTGGAAAGTTAAAGTTTGACTGGGAAGTAGTCTCCTTGGAGAGCAGTGCCCCTGAGCTGGCTGGTCAGATTAGCTTTGGGGTTTCGTGATATTGCTGAGGGTCAAAATCCGAGTATGTGTGTCAGATGCAAATCTCTGCATTCTGTTTCAGCTGTCCACTTATGAGCCTTTTAAATGAAGAAAGATGGTGCCATGCTGTGTCTGGTTGTAGGATGTGCAGAGGACATGGTCTTCTTAGGTGTTAATGATGGAAAACAAGACTGTGGTTTTGGGGTGAGACCAAAACCCCACAGGACATCACTGGTGCTACAATGTCATTGCACTGTGTCTTGCAAATGCTTGCTAGAAACTTGCTGTTAATGGCAAGAGGTTCATTAACACCAGAGTTAATTAAAAATGGGACAAAGCCTTGGTAGGTGGCTTGGTCTAACCCCATTTATTTTGGTCACGATTCTACGAGGGAATGACATGTCAGGTGTGTGCCTGCTGGTGCAGTACGTGCACAACCCATGGGGCTGGTCTCGGTGTCCCTCCCCCTGGCTACACTGGAGCTGCGATTCAGGCTCATTGCGCAGTGCTCAGCCTCTGCAGGACTCTCACTTTTTCTTCTGGCATTGTTTCCAAAGGAACCTTCCAGGCAGTTAGGTAATGCAGGTGACCATGGCCACAGGATCTACTAACCAGAGAGGGAATTACTCCCAGCCTTTGTTGCCCAAGGAAGTTGTGAATGCTCCATCCCTGGCTGTGTTCAAGGCCAGGTTGAACGGAGCCTTGGGTGGCGTGGTTTAGTGTGGGGTGTCCCTGCCCCTGGCGGGGGTTGGGGGTGGGGGCTAGAACTGGATGATCTTAAGGTCTTTTCTAACCCTATTCTCTGGTTCCATGCCCTCAGAGCATGCAGCGCTCAGTAGCTAATGTGGCGGGGACACAGTGCTGGATGATAAATCATGTAACTGAGCAGCAGAAAGCTATGGGCCTACAGGTAGGCACACTACAGGCTGCGCTTTTAGAAGGCTTCTGTCTGCCCAGGGTGGCAAGGGGGTACAGAAATATAAGTTAAGACAGTAGGTAATTAAACACATGAACTTGACCCCAAACTCGCCTCAGGACGGTCAGGTCAGAGAGTGTGAAGCGGCAACAGGCGACTCTCCACGCCGCGCTACAGGGACGCTGCCGCCGGCATGGTGAAGCCCCCCGATCACGTGATGCACACTTTCCAGCACGGTATTGGCTGAGAGGGATCATGTGCAGCGGGATGGGGCGTGGCCTGGTGAGAGGTCGCGGTTGCCAAGGCGACAGGAGGCGGCGGCGCGGGGTTGTGGGTAGGCCGTCCGCGGTGGTGCTCGGTTCGCTCACGGGCTGGTAGGGCCGCATGTTCGCGGTTCTTGAGGGTGCGGCCAGGGTCCCCCCGTCCGGGTGGGGTGCAGCGGGCCGCACTGGCGGTCTGCTGGGTGAGGAACCGATGTGACGGCCCCGCGGCCTGGCGAGAGCAACGATTCTGGTCGGCGAGGACCGGCCTCGGAGCTTCCTTGGAGGTGCCTTACGGAGAGTTTGTGTCTACCTCATGCGGTTTGTTTGGGATGAAATGGCTGATGGGCTGTGCGTGGCTGGGGTTGTTTGAACAGCTGTGCTATCTGATAACCCTTTCCTTCTTCACGATTTTTTAGGTTTATCAACAATGACCCACAGCAGTTAACACTTAATGATGAGTAACAGTCAAGTTTGTGAATCCGAGTTACTTGGACTAGTGAGAGAGGTTGGTTTTCTCTCTTTTTTTCTTTTTGGTTGACATGAGCAAAGCAAAATTTCATAATGCTTGTGTTCAGAGCAAGGCATTGTAACTGTGGTCTAAATTCTGGAGTTATTTATCTGGGCAAGTGTTTGCTACACCATGAAATCATATTGACTCCTGTCATGCTCTGTAGATTCAAAGGGCTTAAAGTCCATTAAATGCCAGCAGTTAAACATAAAACAGTCTGGAATTGTCTGTTGTTCATTGCAAATTAGACTTTCATTAAAGGAACAGTTAAGCTGATAAGATCGACAGGCAGTTTTAGGGCTGAGGTCGAACTTGTGATAATATTAAGATCTTTAAAACATTGTTTAGCTACCACCTTGTTCCATATGTGTATAAAAATCACAGCAGCATATAAAACCCCTACAGATGACAAAGGCCAGGCTGAAGTCCTGAGGCTACTGATCTCTGTGGTTTAATGCCTAATCAGGATTTTCCAGCAAGTCACTCCTTTTATAGGCCATATGGGTAGAGGTAATCAGAATGTATTCTAAAGTGTGGAATGGTCCTGTGAAAAAGAGAGAGGCCGGCTTTCAAGAGCAAGTGCCTCGGGCTTCTGGATAAATTGGCTAAAATGGAACATTTATGATTTGGAGCAAGAACACAAACTGTGATCTCTGCTGCTTGTTACCGCTCCATTCCTTTAATTGACACTGTGTTGGTAGACTAGTTTAGGGCCCTAAATGAACACCAAACCAACAAAACCTAGACCCCCTGCCTTGTATGATCCATCTATTGCAGTGTTCCACAGATGCCAGTGCTACAGAGGGACAATCAGGAGTGGCATTCAGTGCCCAGTTTCACTAGGCTGTCTGTTGAAAGCCTGGACAGAGAGTTTACCAAATGGCAAAGTCATACACAACCTAAATCATTTTTTGTGAATCTTGGAAAACAAACCTATAAAGAGGCTTAAGTAGTTAATCATTACTATATTACTGTTTATGCTAACAACGGAGAAAGTAAATGATTCTTGTTCTCTGTAGCAAATCAAAATGAATAGATTTTCTACAGATTTGAATATATCAAAATGAAGTATGATGTCTCGCCTCAGCAACCAATAACTAAGACTTCTGAGATGGGGGAAGAAGGGAAAAGTTCTGTGTGATATAGTAACTGTGCATTTTAGGAGGAAGAGGTAGGGCTATTTATCTCTTTCTCAGAAGAACAGTGCTTCATTAGATGGTTATTAATTTGGCTTGCATAGCTTCAAATGAGTGACCTAGCTTAGAATTCAAGCTATCTGTCTACTGCTGTGGAGATTAGAGTTATGCTTGAGAACTCTGTTCTCCAAGAATGCTGTTTGCAAGGAAGTTACTCGTTTCTTCAACCAAGGTATAGCATTAATGTATTTCAGTTCTTTTCCTTGTTTGTTTGAATGAAATTACTGGCTAAATGGAGGAGCATAATTTTTTCAGAGAGGATGTGCTTGGTTGTTAGTACTGTTCTCCAGGATGCAGGAGGAAATTTAGTTCTGAGACAGTATTTCCCTACCATAAAGTCTTGGTTTGTTGCTGTGCAGTCTTTGGCATTTATTTACCCTGCTACAGAGAAACTTTAAAGGACTTTGGCAATTTGTGGGTCACTCACTGGAGCATTAATAATCTAAAAACATACTATTCCTATGTTTTTGTCTTGTAGTATTTGGATTTTGCTGAATTTGAAGAAACGGTGAAAGTATTTACAAATGAATGTCAAATAAAAGGGAAGACACTACCTAAACCAGCAGGTGTTTCCTCAAGAGATTCAAAAGCTTTGGCTGTTCAGGTAATGCGTATTTTACACTACTTTCAGTAATACTAAAAGTAGTTAAAGGCTACTAATCATTGTGTGAGATTACAGTGTCTCTTAGTGGTCTGAAGAGGTTCTTGATTATTTGAAGAAGTCTGCTAGCAGTCATCTTCCAGTACAGAACCTTCAACTTTGGATTTTTTGATTGGTTGGTTGGTTGGTTGATTGGTTTTGATTGTTTTTTTCAGGACTCCAGTCCTTTTGAACCCAAGACAGTAGTTTTGATTCTGACTATTTTAGGTTTTTAGCTTGCCATACTTTAGTAAGACTGATTTTTGCACATTGTAGGCATTTATTTTTCCTCTGAGGGTTCAGGTGGCACTTGAATTCTTCATTCACTGTTGGAAAAATGTAGTGTTTCTGTGTCTGTTTTTTTTCACTGAATGCTTTTCGCTTTTGCAGAAAGATCTGCTTACAGCATTTGAAAATGGTGAACAGAAAGTTTTCTTCCAGCTCTGGGAGGAACATATTTCATCTTCAGTCCTGGACGATGAACCGGCTGCTCAGAAGCTGGAGTTTTATCTTCACATACACTTTGCCACCTACCTCTTGAAACACAATATTGGAAAGCCTGTAAGTATAGTTCACAATTCAAACTTTAAATGCCTTTTGCTGGGTTTACTTCATTTATTTGTCTTCAATGTGGGTGAGGATGGGATATTTACTAAGAAGAATTCCCAGTCTTTGGGCTGCAGCCTGCATTTTAGTTGAACCAGACCCCTTTTATTGTGAAGTGTAGAGATGGAAGTTGGAGGTTTCTTTCTCCTGGAGCTCCTGAAGTATTTTAAGTTGGAAAGCACCAGCATGTTGATGCTTAAAACACTTATTTTTCTTCCAGTTTGGACTAAAGCTGTCTGTTGAAATACAGACGTTTCTGATAAAATGAGAAAGCTGAATCTTGACCAGCTCAAGATATCATGTCAAAAACTAATTCCAAGCTGTCATAAGATAAAAACTGTGTTACATGGGACATTTATGATGAAGAGGAATTTAAGTAGCCTGGACTCAGCCAGGGCATAATAGCTTCTGCCTTACACCTGTCAGCTGCTACAGGAGTATTTGGATGCCTTCACTTTGTTTTCCAGCCTCTAAGAAGCTTTTGTTTTGTGTGCCAGCTCCCCTTCCTGGTGCTGTGAGTTGATTTTGTGATTTTGCACTTATGGTTGAAATGAAACATGTCTAAAGTAGGTGTTTCCTCTCTGCCCTGAGTATGGAAATGCACCCTGCTTTAGAAATCTAGCTTGAAGAGGGGAGGAATAATTTACATTCAAAAAGCAGCTGTCCCTCACTTTTATTGGACCTGGGGGACAGAGACAACATTGGTTTAAATTTTCTTTATTGAGTGGCAAAAGCAAGCTATAATGCTCCCCAGTGAAATAAATCTTGCTTTTTAGAGAACAGATATTCTGGCATTTCAAATTTAATGTGTTTAGATCTCTGTATTTGCCAGCATTACAGTGTGTTCAGAGTAGTAGTTTTCTAAATAAATATGCTACTTTATTTCCTAGGACAAAGCTGAACTTGAGGAAAGGATTTCTCATTTTAAGGGATACCTGGAAACAAAAGGAGCTGCACTGAGTCAGACTCCAGAGTTTCTTCCCTTCTATGCTTTGCCTTTTGTTCCAAACCCCATGGTACATCCTTCATTTAAAGAACTTTTCCAGGTAAGTATCTGTTTTGTAAAGATGGTATTCATAACAGTTTTTCTCAGGGGGTAATAGCTATTGAATGATGTTTAATTTGGTAATAATTTTTATTGTTTCCTTTAAAAGAAACTATGCAGTCATAAAAAAAACAAATATTTGATGGAGGAAGAGTTGTGAGAGGGTTGCTGGGTTTAAAACATGATAGCTAAGCATGAGGAGACTGAAGCAGTTTCATTTAATGTGGAAAAGAGGAAGTCAAGTTTATAGGTAATCCTTCTGTAACAAAAAAAGACACAGTGTTGCCTGTGCCTCCATCCCCCCCCCCCCCCAAAAAAAAAAAAAGAGTGCTGGAACAGCATAGCTGTGCTTAGTGGTTTGGTGACTCTTAACCACAGGCATTTTTCCTGTTTTTTTCTTTTTTTTTTTTTTTTGTTAAATATGTTTCAGCCTTTGCTTTGTTTCAGAGTTGAGTTCTTAGGTTTGCATGTGCAAGGTGAGAAGAGAGCATAAAAGTTAGTGTGCTTGAACTTGAACATATTTGCAGGTGCACTTTCAATGTGATGAAGATCTACAGTTATTCTATTGGTGAAAGTGTAACAAAACACCCTGAGGTTGACTGCTTTCTGGGCACCATGCAGGTAGATGATTAGGAGATGACAGTTTGATGTTCCAAAGCATTGGTGTACCTTCCCCTGAGGTACAGCCACCATTTCCCTTGCGGTGAAAAACTGTGCCTTGACTTCTTGGTTATGCTGGGAACAGCTGGTTACATGGTTGGACTGGATCAAGAACCTGATCTGCTTTATTGCCTGTGAATGTGTATATACAGCTCCCATGTACACACACAGGTACAAAAATTTGTTTGTAAAATATGTACAGTATTTTTGCAGGGTTATATATGCTTGAAATGGTTCACAATCCTACCTTGTGGACATTTGTGCTGGCTTTTATAAGCAGATGAAGGCAGTTACTGTGGTAGGAGGAGATATCTTCAGCCTGCCACAGTTGCTGCCACACATTTTTTGATATTGCATGAAAGCTTAAGTAATATTTGGCCTAGGGCTGAATTTGGATGTACCAGCTGATAAGGAGCTCCAGTTTAACACCAAAAAGAGGCATATACAGCAGTTTTCCTTCGGGACTAGCTATAAATACTGAGATGTACTGTTTGACCTCAGGGGTGGGATGTGACTACTTTTTTTTTTAATTAGCAACTTTTTTTTTTTTTTAACCCTTCTCCCCCCCCTCCCCTTTCCCCCCCCTTTTCCCCTGAATGCCTTATCTGAGATGAGATCCTCAGGTTTATTCATAGTAACCCAATGTCCAAGCTCTTAGTCCAGTCACTCATATTTTCTTGTGGGAATTGTACAGCTTATTCCATGTTGGTGTTGAAATAAAGATTGTTTTCTGTTTGAGAAAGAACAGCAGTGAGTCACTAGTCTGCTAAGCGGTATTCTTAGCATTTTTTTTTACTCAGGCGTCTGATGCTTTATATAGCTGAGTTCCTATCTGTTTGTGTAATAGATCTTGAAAAATAATATACACTCCTCTCTGTAGGAGACATGTTTCCTTTGGTAATATACAGCATACTGCTATGCACCACTGTCTGGATACTGAATTGGTAAATGCAGCAACTAAACTCTGTGTGCTCTCCAGCACAGTGAAATAAGGGCAGATCTGAGCTGTGAGAACAGCTTGCAGCATATGCGTATACAGCAGTAAATTTAGGAACTCCTGCTGTTTGTTGGAAGATACTGCTTTCTCATTTGCTGGCTTGCTTTTCATCAAGCAGAAAGGAGCTTAACTGAAGGTTTGAAATAGAATAAATGAGTATTCAGTGAATTCTTAGCTGTAGTTTGGCCTTCTTCCTTAACTGTTATTTTCTTGTGCTTATGAGATATTATGTCAGGCAGAAGACAGCATTCCAGTTAATGGCTGATATGTTGGTCTGGTTTTTTGTATATGAGTTGCTTCTATCCAAATCCTTATTTTAGAACTGTTGTACCCTAATCACTGATGTCATATCATGACAAAATTTACATTTCCCAGATGTTGTTAGGAGTGAAAGATATCTAGTGATTACTTTTAGAAAGCTGAGCAGCGGGAAATCATTCATTTCATACTCTAGTTCATAAATATAAAATTCACTTTAATATTTTTATCTTTTTTTCCAAGATGCTTATATTTTTTAAGTACTTCTAATTTAGGGGCAGTTGTTGCATGTCATATGAGGCACTAATATTATATGGTACTTTAACACTTTAAATAAAGCTACACTGCATTTCTAGAACAGGGATCCCTATCGTTTAGGGGTAATACTGAACTCTCTTCTATCTTCTGTACACTGTTATGGGTATCTAGCAAACACATTCACTTCAATAACAGTGAAGGGAAAAACATTTCAGTACGATGCTGGCTGCCTTGTTTAGTAGTAGTGGAAGGTGGCTGTGATCAAAACAGTACTTTCAGCAGAGTGTATGTATTTGGTGGAAAACTGTCATCATTTGGTTTTCTTTTCAAGGATTCTTGGACATCGGATTTAAGGATGAGACTGGAAAAGTTCCTGTCTCTGACCCTCAAAGACACTCCTCGGCTACTCACTTTATTTGTATCCTTTTGAGAAAACACTTTGAAGATAATTAAAATTACTGGAAAGAGGCAGTATAATTTACTGGAAGAGTATGCTGCTGAGATTTGCAGCAGAACTGCAGTAACGTTGCAGTTCAGTGTTTTTCAGATAGGAAACTTTGGTTATAATCTTTTGAAAAAGTTACGTAAAGACAATGGATAGATGCATATGGACTTGCATATTTATTGTATGACTATTCTTTGCTTCCATGAAGAAAGTACAGGATACCTGAAGACGCTGACCTGAGCTGACTTCTGTCTCGGCATTAACTAACTAAAAGCTTTTAGTCTTTTCTAGCTGAAAGTTTTCCAGGGCTTTTAAGGGTTCCAGAAATTGTTCTACGAGATGGCTTGTGATCCAGAGTTATTTTTCTAACAATATTGTTTAAGCTGTGTTGTCAGGCCTAATTTGCAAACTCACTAGCTATATGACAAATTTTCTTCCCTGTTTTTCATCAGTACAGTTACACGCAGGGTAGAAAGAACTGGAGTTATTGTCTCTAGGTTTTTGGGGGTTTTTTGGGTGTTTTTGTTTTCTTTTTTTAACAGGACAAGTTAAAAGTCCTTTTCTTGCTGTATCTTATTTTATTTTGAAGCAACATGTTGCCATGGTGGTACTGAATGATGAGCTGGGAATAGATTCCTTCTGTTCCATTCTTGCCTGTTTGCCAGAGTGCAGAACAGTGATCAAAACGGTGTTTTCACTTCCATCTTAAGGATGTTTGTGTGGGAGTCTGGCATAAAACAGCTAAAGAAAATTTTCTCTCTGCTTATTTCTCTTTATGGAGTAATTGACCGGATCCTTATTGAGCCCTGAATATTTCTTAGGTATAAAATGTCACTTACCCTTAAACAGTTGCATATTTGTATGTTGCTGTGTAAAATCAGTGGGTTGACTTTTGATTTTGGTGTTAATACATTTATACTGGAGTTACTCTTATCGTCTACTTCAGGGCTGGATTTAGTATCTTTAAAGGTCTCAAGTCTGTGCAACATTGTACATTGTATACGAGATTTTTATGTATTTATTATTGATTCATTTATTGCTTTCCTGTAAAGCATTAGGCATTGGCTGTTGCCTGGGACTGTAGGAATATTTGATTTGGCTGGGTTTGCCAGTTGGTTGAATTTCTCATTCTGTGTCTCTGGAACAAACATGTACTGAAAGAATGCACGTTTTCCTGAACTGCTCCTGCACAAACAACAGAAGGAGAATGAACAGTGCAGCAAAGGTAAATGCTGAGATGTGGTAAGATTATTGGGGGCTATAGTAGTAGTAGAAAGTACACCTGCAATGACAGGGAAACTAGTGATGCATGGCAAAAAATCCTCTGAAATCCAGACCTCTGTCTTGGTAATAGTCATTGCTAGACTGGTTGAGGTCAGTAGGGTTGAACATAGAAATGCTATAAATGTGAAAGGGCTTAATCATAGGATTTGTATTTTAAGTCTGTTCTGTCCAGAAATACGGTAATAACAGATGGAGAACTCTGTAGAAAGTGCATACTAGCACTCCATTTTTAGTTATGATGAAAGTAAGTTTTCTCAGATTTCTTTCCCATACTTGCTTATGCCTACCTGCATCTGCCAGATTTCAAATTTCATTCAGTTATTTGGATCACTGTCTGATGATTCTCAACAGACTTGATTCTTGTTCTTATTCACTCTTCCTGTTTAAATTCCTAAAATAGCACATACTGAATATTCTCCTGAATAAGAATGTGTTTAAGTATGGCTCTGGTGTGTTGCGTTTTTAGGTAAGCTGTTCATACACACCTAAGTGTGTTAGTGACTTGGGGATCTTTAAAAAAATGATTTCGGCACTGAATTCTGTTGGATTCTGATGGCATTTGAAGTTATGTGCCTTTTAAAAACCACTTCAATAAATAGAACACCTCCCGTATGAAGACAGGCTGAGAAAGTTGGGGCTGTTCAGCCTGGAGAAGAGAAGGCTGCGTGGAGACCTCATAGCAGCCTTCCAGTATCTGAAGGGGCACCTATAGGGATGCTGGGGATGGACTGTTTGTTAGGGACTGTAGTGACAGGACAAGGGATAACAGGTTAAAATTTAAAGAGGGGAAGTTTAGATTTATTATAAGGAAGAAATTCTTTACTGTAAGGGTGGTGAGGCACTGGAATGGGTTGCCCAGGGAAGTTGTGAATGCTCCATCCCTGGCAGTGTTCAAGGCTAGGTTGGACGAGGCCTTGGGTGAGATGGTTTAGTGTGAGGTGTCCCTGCCCATGGCAGGGGGGTTGGAACTAGTTGATCTTAAGGTCCTTTCCAACCCTAACTATTATATGATTCTATAACTAAGGTTCCTAACGATCTTGCATTTATTTTTTCACCTGACTCTGTGTTCACTTTATTAGTAGGTATTTGTATGAGTCCAGCTGGTTTCTTCAGATGACTTCTCCTCTTGAGTTATTTTAATCTGTAATTTTAAACTGAGGATTTACTACTTGTAGATTGAATTAAGGAGAAAGCTAGGCTTATCTCCCAGGGTGAGTTCCAGGTATTTTCTTTGTTATTTGTCTTGCATTAGACTTTCATTGAATAGTAGAAAGATCTTTGTGGATGTTTATTTTCCAGAAGTTACTTTTTTCTTGTGGCAATAATTCAATACTCTGATTAAAAAGAAATGACTACATGATTGGACCTGAATTATTTTGAGTCTAAGTGCTTCTTATTTGCATAGGTTCTGTGCCTTGTACAAGTACAGGGAATGTCATGGTATTGAATCCATGCAGGTCAGCTTTAATTTGTAGATCTGTTATGTGCCTTGGAGACTGAGTTGGTTTGGATTTTTCATAAACATTACTTGAGGGCTGTCTCATATGAATGTTTTGGATCTGAGATGTTATCTTTGCAGTATGCTGCTCAGATCACATGGGATCTGCAGTACATACTTGCTGTTGGAAAATGTTTATCAGTGAAGGAGAAAAGCAGAGAAAATTAATAGGCAACACTTGAACAAAGAGAAGTGTGGCAGAGAGTCCTGGAAGCAACCTTTTGTGCATAGTTGTCAGTCATTAGTCTGACATACTGAAGCACTTGAAGTTTAGGTGGGGTGGTGCTTATGCTCTTGAGAGTGTCCTGCAGAGTTCAGTGTGTTTACCTTGCCTGGTTAAACTGCTACAGTCTGGCTTTTTACACATTAAAAAAAAAATAATCAAAATTAATACCTGTATGCATTTCAAAGCTACCTGTGTGGCAGTTGTGCTTAACTTGCAGCTCTCCCATGTGTTTTTAGTTTGGCAGAATGGTTGGCATCTTGCACAGACAGCTTCAGACCTTCTGTGTGTCCTCAGGCTAACAGGAGTGGAGGGAATGAAATATTTGGAACTGGGTTCAGCTACTGTCCCCTTCACTGCCTCATATAAATCTGTGGATGAGTTCACAGCTATTCTTCCACCATGTCCTCGTAGCAGCCTTCCAGTATCTGAAGGGGGCCTATAAGGGTGCTGGGGAAGGACTCTTCATTAGGAACTGTGGTGATAGTACAAGGGTAACAGGTTAAAATTTAAACAGGGGAAGTTTAGGTTGGATATAAGGAAGAACTTCTTTACTGTAAGGGTGGTGAGGCACTGGAATGTGTTGCCCAGGGAACCTGTGAATGCTCCATCCTTGGTGGTGTTCAAGGTCAGGTTGGACAGAGCCTTGGGTGACATGGTTTAGTGTGAGGTGTCCCTGCCCACGGCAGGGGGGTTGGAACTAGGTGATCTTAAGGTCCTTTCCAACCCTAACTATTCTATGATTCTGTGTCAGGGAAGAGGAGAGTAGGGAAGTGTGTCAGGCTGCTGCACAAGAGAAGGTGAAGTGTGACCTGTCTGTCTGTCAAGAGTTGCTATAGTCTGAATTACTGTTAATGTGGAAAGATGTCAGTTTAAAATATAGATAGTAATTTTTATGGAAATGAGGTTAGCAAGAAGGAAACAAGGCAACTGCTGCCTTTCCTAAGAGCAAGGTTTCGGTGTCACCTAAGGAGTTCTGATGTCTGACAGCAGCTTTTGGGACCTGCAACTCCTCTGCTGAGAGCTCTGCTGCACTGTATGCAGGAAGTCAGCCTGGCTGGATTAAGTGCTTCTAGCAAAGTGTGTGGGGGTGGACTGAGACTAGAGAGACAGGGAGAGCAAGCACAATTTCAGGAAATGTGTTTGAGTTGTAGGTAGGTTGTCATAAAGGATAACAACTAGTCTCTCAAAGAGAAATGCTTATTGTGGAATTATGCATATGTGCATATGTGTAACTCCTTGGCTGTTCATAGGAACTGGAGTCAAAACATTAGAAAGACTTGATAATTGCATGCATGAAAGAGTAGGCAAGAATATTGGTAGAAACATGCAGTGGTTCACATGATGCCTACTGCCAGCATCTTCATTTGTCAGAGTCGCAAGCCTTACTGTATGCTGCATCCTCCTAATCCAGGAGATTAGTCCTCTGTCCTTTATTTTCCCTTCTTTTCTTCCACATATGAGTAACGGTCTGGCAGATATTGGGTCCAGAGCTTCTCCCCACTCCTTCCTAAACTTGCCATATGCAGAAAGCATATAGTTGTGTCTGGGAGAGGGAAAGAGAAAAGTGAAATGTGTTACTCTCTAATTCCTGTTACAGGTGCAGTTTGATCACTTCTGCAAGGTGACATAAATGTGAACTGCTTCTGAAAGGCAGTTTCCTTTTCACCTATCCTGACTAAGATGGCAATGACTTTAAATAAGCAAGTAAATACTTTGTGTGGACTGGTAGCTCCCAGACCTGTCTGCCAAATGGTGTTAGTGATTGTGGGGATGTGGCTGGAATGCCAGGGGGGAAATGAGGCAGCACAAGACCAACACTTCCAACAGCTCTCTGGGTCAGCTACATGTGAATGATGAAAGCTTCCTGCTCTCTTAGTAAGAAACTTTAAGGAAATACTTTTCCTTTTTTAGTAAAATTACTTATGTGTGAGAAGATAGTGGGGAAAAAAAACAAAAACAAACCCCAAACAACCCAGTATGTCAAGGCTCTGTGTTTCCTCTCTTTGATTCCCCTTTATCAGTAAAGACCAGTGTTTGTAATTGATAATCCCTAAATTTAACATGCAAGGGGTAATTTGGACCCTGTTTTTTGTTTGCCAAGACGAGCATTCATGAACTGCATGAAGTTCTGTTTATGTAGCTTTTCCTGCTGACTATATGTTGAAAGATGGATTTTCATCACTGGAAACTTTCCCCGCTAGGCTGTGAAAAGCAAGCAAATTATGAGTAGGTTTATATTTTGTGGCTTGGTGCTTCCAACCATCTTCTGAGTAAGTCATGCTCTAGGTACATACACTGAAAATTTCTGAATCAAATGTGTTTTATCACAGTTAAATAAAAATGTATTCCAATTGCTCGTCTAGGCAAAGGAATAAAGCATTGAAGAGTGGCTAGTTCTGTGCAGTGGTTGCTCTCAGAATCTTTTAGTTTAGAAAAATACTCTTGTTTTGAGCTATATCATTAAAGCTGTGGCAGCAGTTTAGCAGTGATGGTTGAGGAATAAAAATGAAATTCAAGTTGAATGATTATTGTCAAAGGAGAATAATTCGGGTTGCCTTTGGAAGTTATCTTAGCTCTTTTGATTTGTAAGTTGATGAATATTGATTTCAGTTGAGATGGTTTTAACAGCTTAAAAGAATTGTAAAAAGTTTGGTGCTCTAAGCAAGATTGCTTAATACTACGGGAGCTGTTCAGGTGTTCTTTGGGGTTTCCTTTCCAAGTGCCTTTTGCTGGATTTGAACAGGATCTGTGGATTGTCACAGCTTCTGTTGTTATTTCACACTGGTTTGCGCTCCCTTCTAGAAAGCATAAGAAAAATATTATTAGGGTGGCTTAATTTGCAGTTGGATCTCAAGTATCAGTCACAAATCCTGCAGGTGCAAAATGCTGTGATTCATGAGTAGTTTTCAGAAGGTGGCCATTCTTAGAAGGGAGAAAGCTGTGAGAGTAAAATAACTGTCTGGGTGTTCGTCGGTTTTTTCCCTTAACTTGTAGATTTTTGAAAAAAACAAGGATTAGAAATAAGGTGTACCTTCTTTGTATTTCATGCTTTAGGACTGTCAATGTATAGCTAAAGCTTATAGCTAAAGTCTGTTAATGCACGTTTTCTCTAAAAATCCAATTGAAAAGATGATTTTGCTAAATTTTCTGAAAGTAAAATAAGATGATCTGACATCTACCGCTTTTAACATAAATGGGATAAAAGCCTATTTCAGAAACCCTAAAATCCATATGATATGATAAGTTTTTAAAGAAGTTTCCAGGATCTGAAATCATAGAAATATCTGATGACTTTGATCTTGTTTATTTGTAATGAAAGCTTTATGAACAGGTATGTTTGAACAGTATGTTTCTGACAGTTTTGTGTCTCTTATGTCCATGTGTTTATTGCTTTTTTTGAAGTGTTTGTTGGAAGTTGTTTGGCAGATATTTGTGCATTAGTAGTACATCACTGCCTGCAATATAACTTGATCATCATTGTAGAAGAGAACTTGTGAAGACTCTACCAGATAAGCCATGGTGTTAATACAGGACTTCCCTTCCCCATTTTTCCCTCTGAAGATTACCACCCCCTGTGCCAGTCACCTTGGTTCAGAAGAGGTTCTTGTCTCTATTCAGAGAGCAAGGGAGCAAATGTCAAGTCACAGTTTCCGAATAAGTACAGTTCTGAATAAGACAGTTCTGAATAAGCTCTCCAGAGCTTATTGCAGCTGTAAGTTATATGCTGGGATTTTTTTAAACACAGAGGATAATGGTGCAGTGAAACTTTGTGCTGGTCAGCCTTCTCCAAATGAAGATCCAAAAGATTTCCACTGATATCGGTTATGTTTCCCAATGCTTTTGTGTTACAGGAACATATGATCTTCATCTTTATGGAAAGAGACAGTGAATCATGAAAGAGGGTAATGGTTTCCTTAAAGATTATGAGCAAAGTCTGTTCAAAGCCAGGAACATGAAATAGTTTTTCTAGTTTCTAATTCTGTATCTTAGCTCCTTCCTTTATTTTGTTTCCCTTTGGGTCTGTTTGGACCTAAACTGTTTTGGTCGTATTAGGCTGTTTGGAATGCTCTACTATAACCCCAAAATTTAAAAAAATCTGTGAATAATAATCCTACTTCTGTCTGAAACTTTGTCATCAAGCTGCTTCCTGACCATTGCTTAATAGAAAGTCCTATGGTAAATATTGAGTCTCTTTGCAGATGGGCGTGATGCCATTTTTGGGACACTAGAGTGATACTGGCTTCTCAGCAAACTAATGTAAAACATAATGTTCTAGAAAATTACATTGACATCAGCAGTAACAGTAGAAATATTGTGCCTCCCTTCATAGTTATCCAGTCATGAAGATGTGCACTGCGATACACAGCTCCAGATTCTGTGCCTGCCTTCCATGCAGAATGCTAATTTGACTAGGTCTGAGGTTGTTTTCCTTAAAAGATAGCAGACTTAGTGTTTACTTTAAAATAAGTGAAGCACTACATAACCTAAATATCAGTGGTCTCTTTCTATAAAATAACTGGAGAAAACACCCAGCCTTATTGTGTAATCTGTCAAGCACTGGCATGAACCTCTGGGTATTGTCATTCTCCCATTTTGTTGCTTTATAGAATCATAGAATAGTTAGGGTTGGAAAGGACCTTAAGATCATCAAGTTCCAACCCCCCTGCCATGGGCAGGGACACCTTGCTCTTTGAAGCGTTGCTCAGTGTGATACTGCTTTTTACCCACTGGTACTTAAATTAATGTAGCAGACAGTGCATGAGTCTCATCTGAAGATAGCAAACCTGAGCTGTGTATTACTGCTATAACTGTGAAGCAGTTGTTCCTTTGGGCAATTAAAGCAAAATAAATACTTGTAGCTCTTACGACAAACTGAAATCACACTAGTAGTATGGAATTATCCTTGCAGTGTAATTCCACACCTTGGATAAAAATAATTCCGTAGCAGCAGTTGAAGTTGTCCCTTTAAAGCAGTAAAAATGCTTGTGGGGTTTTTGTCCTTGTGGTTGAAAAGGTGATGTTATTTCTTTTTTATTATTCTCTTGACAGAAAGGTTGCAACATCTTCAACAACAGTTAGTGGAATCTGAGGGCAGAGCCATGACCTACCTGAAACGATTTAACAAAATGCAGGTGGACTACCGTAACCTCATTGGAGTCACTGCAGAGCTGGTGGATTCCTTAGAGGCCACAGTAAATGGCAAGATGGTAAGAAATGATTCAGATGTGTACTTTCTTCCTCAACCCACAGAAAATGGTGAAAAAATGCCACTAAAATTTGAATTGAGCTTTGTAGTTAAGAGCATTTCTTAAGTACTATGTCTTTTTGGTAATGAAACACAGCACTTTGGATGAGAGATGTCTTCTGTTGCCTCTGTGTACTGGGATAAAATTAGTGCAGAATATGGGTTGAATTGTTCTGGCTCAGAAATCTTCAACAAATTATCACTGTCTCCCAAGACAGATCTCTTCTGAGAGTCCCCTTTTGAGCTTTAGCATCAGCAGTGATTAGAGGGCATTTCTGTGACTACTGCCTACAATCCAGCCTATCAGAGGTTGTTGTATATTTAAAACTGCTGCCAGGTCTGTTTTAAGTTACAGTGTGGTGGAAACAATTGTGTCATTAAAAATGCTGGTGAGGAAAAGCTTTGCTCTCTGTTCTACTGATCTCAACGTGTTCATTTAGTTGGTAAAGGGAGCTGGGGTAGGAGTAATGAATGAGTTGTGCAGTGTGGGAAATGGGCCACACACGTGACTGTGGAAGATACAACTTTCTTATGAGTATTTTTTATACAAAGATAATTTTATGCTTCATCTTTTGTGCCATCTTCTCTTCAAGCATGCAAGAAGTACTATAACTTCTGTATAACCTGAGAATTACTCTTATGGCAGATGTTTGTGGCCTCTAGATACTTTTAAAAGAGCTGTGAATTATTAACAGGGAGAATGACCTAGGAATTCCTGTGCATGCTGAAGAGTCAGTATGTACCTTCCTCCAGTCATCAGCGCGAAAGTCTTATATTTCATTAAAGAATTTGCCTGTAGGCGTGAGCTTTGCTTTAGAGCAGATTAGGAAAGGTATATGCTCACATGAGCTCTGGTAACAATGAGAAGTAAGTAGTAATTAATTTGCTGCCTTGCATTTCACAATTCAGTGCTCTCCAAGGTGATGTACCCTTATGTTCTGGAGGAGCCAGGCACTTTTATCTTTTGTTGTGAATGCTTGTTTCGCTTCCTTGGTAAGACTTGTGCTGGGCAGTCATTTGATCCTTCCCAAGTGTGTCCAGCAGAGGGTGCTCTTTCGTTGGGAATCTTGGTTTCTGTCATTTCTGAATCCAGAGTGGAGTACTGACTAAAATAATGTTGAAGTTACAGCATTCTGAGTTTGAAGGGTTTTATTATCTAGCCATAGGTCTGAGAATATCAGAAGTGTCCCATTCAAGTTTCAGTGATAGAGGTCCTCTCAGCTGTTCTGGGGAAGTTAATAATTGTGAAATCAAGCAGTTCTATTGTGGTATAGATTTCCCAAAACAAAAAACCTAAGCCTGCTGAGATGTTTTGCATTGAGTCATAAAGTGCTGTACTGTGTAACTCATATTTATTCTTTCTGCTATGCAAGACAGTCATGTAGGTTCTGCTTTTTAACTAGACAGCATATCAGCATATCAGAGGTATAAAGCACAAAAGTGCTTTGTACTTACTGTTGGACAGTTTACCTTTTAATTGAGGAAAATCTGTATGCAAGCATAGATGTGACAAATTCTGTTTTACTTCTAGATCCTCCAAAAGTGTTTAGTGTTAATATCATAAATACCATAACTACTCCCAGATGAAGAGGGTTTACGTTTTTATTAATTTTGTAGAATCACAGAATGATTAGGGTTGGGAAGGACCTGAGAGATCATCTAGTTCCACCAACCCTGCTACAGGCAGAAACACCTTGCTCCAGACCAGGTAGCTCAGAGCCCCATCCAACCTGGCCTTGAACACTGCCAGGAATGGGGCATCCGCAACTTCCCTGGGCAACCTGATCCAGTGGCTCACCACCTTCACAGTGAAGAAATTATTCCTAATATCTAAATTTACCCTCTTTCATCTTAAAGCTGTTCTCCCTTGTCCTATCCCTACAGGGCCTTTTCAAAAGGCCTACTCCAGATTTCTTGTAGGTCCCCTTCAGATACTGGAAGCTGCTGTAATGTTTCTCTGGAGCCTTCTCCAGGCTGAAGAACCCCAGCTTTCCCATCCTGTCTTCACAGGAGAGGTGCTCCAGCCCTCTCAACATCTGCGTGGCCTCCTCTGGACTTGCTACAACAGGTTCATGTCCTCCCTATGTTGGGGGCTCCAGAGCTGGATGCAGTACTGCAGGTGTGGTCTCACCAGAGTACAGGAGGAGTATCACCTCCTTCAACCTGCTGGTCACATTCCTTTTGATAGAGCCTGACATACAGCTGGCTTTCTGGGCTGCAAAACTGCTGACAGCACACTGTCAGCTCATGTGGAGCTTCTCATTAATGAACATCCCCAAGTCCTTCTCCTCAGGGATGCCCTCAGTCCAGTATTTACCCTGCTTATAGCTGTGCTTGGAATTGCCCTGACCTGGCTGTGGGACCTTGCACTTTGTCTTGTTGAACTTCATGAGGTTTGCGCTGGCACACCTCTCTATCACTGTCAGGATCAACAGTGTGTCGACCACACCATAAAGCCTGGTGTTGTCACCAAGCTTGCTGAAAGTGCTTGATCCCGCTGTCCATTTCACTAGCAAAGATGTTAAACAGTTCCAGTCCCAATACCAACCCTGAAGAACACCACTTGTCATTCATGTCCATTTGGATATTGAGTTGTTGACTGTAACTTTTGAGTGCAACCATCGAGCCAATTCTGTACCCACCAAGCGGTCCATCCATCAAATCCCTGTCTCTCCAGTTTAGTAATAAGGGTGTCATGCAGAACAGTGTCAAATGTTTTATGGAACTTTACTTCTGTCCTGAATTTCTGAACAGAAGTGTAGTTGCGGTAAATACTTTGTGCTTGCATCAATGAGTCTCAGGTGTGTGATTTTTTGTGTGCCCTCTGGAGAAAAACAAAATAAACCAACAAACAACCTTTAGCACAGAAACACTTGTCTGGTAGAAAGTCTAAGTTTAATTATAAACCTGTTCTGTTTCCTAATTTTAGATCACACCAGGGTATCTTCAAAGTGTTTGTGTTCGCTTGTGTAACAATCAGATGGGACAAAATGTAGCACATAGTATTGACTTCACAAGGCCTGGAACTGTAAGTATTCATATTTGGTTTTCTTGCAGTAACTATCTCAGGAGACAATACCACTTAAACCGTACATTTGAACAACAAATGTGAGATATAGTAAAGGCAGAACATCGTGTGTCATGTGTCCAAGCTTGTATAAGAATATAGCAATGCAGAAGGTTTTGTTGATCTCAAATGCTGGTGAAATGACATGGTTACACAGTCATAGCTGCATAAGTATGATTAATTCTGTTGTTATGATAATGGTAAGCTGTGTATCTGTTTAAATGCTAACTGAACATTTGAAAAACCGAAAGAAACCTAAGACTAATATCCTGAGTGTGGCTTGATGGCACATCTCAGCCAATTTAATAATTTAGCTAAAAAGGGGTGGTGCTGTTGTTCAGTTCCGGACACATGTTCTGTTCCTTTCTGCTGTCAGTGATGCTCTTATAACCCAGAGTGATTTGGCTTAGCCAGTTAAAGGAGAAACATCAGACAGGACCATGGGAACTTAAAGAGAAAAGAAGAGGAAGGGAGAACTTCCCTTATTTGTAAAAGCTAGCTGTTAGATGGGCATTTAGATGATATACCCAAGCCAGCTTGTTGATTTACATGATGAGCTTTAATTCCATATCTGAGGATCTTCGATCTTACTGATAAGCAGTTTACGCTCCCTAGCTTTTTTCTTCTTACTTCACCAGCCTCTTATTCCTTTTCAGATGGCTGCAGTATACTGAGATGCTTGTGCCCATTAGCATTCTGCTCAATCTCTTCTGCCTGAATGGAAAGGGAGCTTTTTGTCCCAGGAGTAGAACCATCTGAACCATCTTAGGATAGTTTCTAGTGTCTGTGAAACTGTGCCTGGGGGTGTGAAATTTTAAATGACTTAATGGTAGTGTAAGAGCTGTTCAGTGGTACAACCATTTTTAATACCTAGTTTGTTCAAATTTTTCAAATACGCATTAACATTAAAACTGCATTAAAACATTTTAGTATTAAAATATTGTGTGCCAGTGCTTTACAAACTGAAATAATGAACTATGCTTATTATTTTTGCCACAGCAGACTTTCATGTATAACTTTGTAGTAGGAGAGCTTTGTGAAGTATCAAAGGAAAAGCAGAAGAAAATAAGATTCTTGCTCATTATTCTAGCCAACGTTTTTAATAACAATGATGCTATGGGTATGTTTTGTTCCTCTTGAAAATTATTACAGAAATATGATGAGATAATAAAAATGCTCCCTTTTTATGTTCCGATATTTTCAGTGATAAATATTATTCCTCATTCCTCTGTTTAAGCTGTTTTAAATGCCTTCGCTTCCTTGTTAATGGTCAGATCTTCTTTCTCTGACCTGCCGTGTATTTGAGAGGTGTACTCTTAGCAGCTATTGCAGGCTGCATTTTGGGAAGCAACCAGGATCTCTGCTTTTCTGCTACCTCAGCAATAGAGTCTGCTTGTAACTCTTCCCTCTTCAGAGGGAAGTCGGTAGTGCATGGTTATGCCGTGTCCCACCCTCTAATGTACCTCCTGCCCCATCTTTCTTCTGAGCAACAGTTCTCAGAGGTCTGTCCTCTTTCCCTGCCAATGGCTTTCTAAGGTCACGCTGTATGTATCCCAGTAATCTTATGTATTTTTACCATCTGATGTTGTGGTTGTGTGTGTCTCCTAGCTCCCCTTCCCTGTACCGAGATCATTCATACTGTGCAGCTACATTCCCTCTTCTATCTGTTCCTGCTCTCTGCTTGCATCAAGGCTTCTCATTTTCTCCTGTGATTTGAAGATACTTAATTTGCCCGCTCTTACTATTTCTTTTCTTTCTATCATGAGTTGATCCTCTGATCTCTTGAAGCCCTTTTGGGCAAAGTGTCATCCTTATGCCAGCTGCTGATTGTTTTCTTTATCCACTCTGCAGGAAGTGCAGAAGCGGCTGAAGCTGTGTCTTCGCTGATAAAAACTGTATGGATTATTGCTAGACTGTGTATGGCTTGCTATGCCCCTGTCACAGATGCAGTGTCAGCATAAACATCTGTTCTTGTGTGATGTAGCCTTTAGGTATAGGCATCTGTTTCCTTCTCTATGAAATAAAGACTTTAAAGAGTTTTAAGAACAATAGTGATCATTGAAGAAGTGGATTAGCAGCAGTGTTTAAGCACAGTATTTTAGCCAGAATCTCTGTCACTGGGGTTTTTTAAGGACAAGGTAGACAAATGGACCACTTGTGGCTGATGCTTGATTCTTCCTCCAGGACTTCCTCCTCCTTGAATCTTCCTTCTGCCAGATTAGGCAACCAAAATCTCATGCAGCCATACTTCTTCATTTTCCTTCTAGTAAAGACACTCAACTGTGAAATGACTGTTGGTCTTATGCATCATGTTTATTTACTGTTGCTTTTCTAAAAGCATTTTTAAAAGTATTTCTGCTTCAGAAGGACCTTTGCCACCATACTTATGCCCCTGTGGCCAGTTTAGCACAGTCTCCAGCAATGTAGGTAGGTCAGGGAAAGAGGATTTGGTGATGGTGGATTTTTTCCCCCTCCTAGAATTAAATATTTGTCTCCTTCCTGTCTCAAGTTAGCCAGTTTAAGATGACTAAAACTGTGTTCTTCTGGCAGAGTTGTATCTATTTTTATACTAGGCTTTACTAGCATAACTATTTCTGTGTGACTTTGTCTCCTTTGCCCATACTATTTGTAGTAGTTGCTGTGCCAGCAAAGTTCTCCAGTGAAGGACCAGAACAGCAAGAACCCTGAGACTGTTTAGATTAAGGGTTTCTCAACTACTTTAGGTTGCTCCTTGACAGTGAGGTTATAGTAGCTACTGTGGTTGAAATCTGATGTTTCTATAAGCAGACCCACACACTCAGGCTGTCTGAGGCGTTAACCAGGTTTTGGAGGGCTAATTGCAGTCTTTGCTTGCAGACCTTCGCTGCATCATAACCAGGTTTCTTCATCTTATGCTTTTGTCCACACTTGGGTCATCATCTTTTCTTGTTTGTTTCCCATGTAGAGAGTTCTGGTTTTATAAGCGAATAGCAAACACATAGAAACACAAGTAAGTGGAAGAAGAAAATATATATGTAACCCATCTTCTGTGAAGAAAAATGAAACTCCTTCGTAATCATCCCAAAATACTTCTAACCACTCCTTGACTGTGTTGATCCAAGAAGCCAGATAAGATGGACTAAAAACAAAGTTCTGACTGTTTGCCACTAGGCTGCTAAGGCATCCCATGACTTTAAGGATTCCAAATACCTCATTGTTATACACTTAGATGTTTTTGTTCTATCCTTAAGTGGTTTCAGGTTTTTGCATAAGTTTTGGAATAAAGCTGGAGGCATTGTGACCTGGACTAAGTAGTAGCATGAGCTTGCAGCATCTGTGCTGGATTTGTGTTGGAAGATCCCTTCACTTTTTTACTCATATCTGATTAGAGACACTAGAGTGTGTTTTTTCCAGCTACTCCATTTACCAAAATTCCTCTGCCATAGAGGCAGTCACCTGTAGACTTGTAGGGGGAAGAGACTAGTGGGGGAGCAGCTCCTTTGCTCATCCTTACCATTTGGTCACTGTGTAGGCAAGGTGAGAGGTCTTTTTTTAAAAAAAAAAGAAAAGTCAATGTCTAAAGAGTTTTGGCAGGCATTAAATATGGTGGTTTGTTGGGGTTTTTCCCCCTTTTTGCCTTGAGTTTTCATGATTTGACTGTCTCACTGACATCACCAATGTCAGGACCAGACTCTGAAATAAACTAGTTTTGGTGGACCGGTATCACTAAATAGAGGAGCAGAAAAGAAAATCATTAGCGAGGAAGTTACTTTATGTTGTACTGACATGCAGCCTTAAATTTCTACCACTTTTACTTAGGGAATGAGTGGATGTGCATTACATAGTTTGGAAAGAGCAGGTGCTTGAGTTCACTATACTGGCACAACTTGGGACATTCCAGGTTCTGAAGCAGGTTCTAAGAGCAGAAAATGTTAAAGCTGCATCATGCTCAGAGATGTTTACTTGAGCTCTACAGTATATTATGTTAAATCAGCTACACTACACTGATAGTCTGAAGTTATACCGGGAAGGAGCACTGTACCACTGGGAAGGAGCATTGTACTAGTGCTGTAACCAAAATGAAGTATTGCCCAAGGAAATTAAAGAGTATGCTTTGGATTATATCCTTGGTAGCATTATTTATGTGCAAATTTGATTTTGTTCCCAGTGCATTGTACTCTGTGCTCAATTTTTAATGTCAGGAAAGTAGTATTGTGTAACAGAAAGCCTTGAGGTCTCAGACTTTGAAATTACAATAAAGGTAATGTGTATCCTTTACTAACGTGTGCTGGTTTTGTACAAACATCAGCTTCCTGGTTTGCTGCTCCGTGGCTGAAGGCCTGTCCTTTCATACTGGAATACACTTGTATTGAGGCAATAAATCCCAGAACAAGTCTTTCTTACCAAACTGGCTTTAAGACCTGTGGCACTGACGTCTTTTAACCAAGAGACTTTCCCTGTGTAATCATACCCACAAAATCTGACTTAGCACGGGCTTCTGGTTTTGGCTGTTGTTTTGTGCTCTCTTGTAAGATGGCTTGGATCTCCTCCTTTTGCAGAGCAACTTCATGCCTCTTGCCATCTCTCTGACCTCCTGGGTCAGCTTGTGAGCTTGATTTACAATCCATTAACAGGACACATCTGCTGCATTTAGTGGGAGAGAGGCTACACTACTGTGTTACAGTTGGGAGATGTTTCCAAGGCTTCTCTAAAGACATGTTTTACCATAAGGCTTTTTTCCTATCTCCTGTTGAATGTTATTGCCATCTTCCATCTTTTAATTTGACATGTGTGGTCCTAAACTGGGAGATGAGAAACCTGAGAGAACTGTTAGAGCAAAAGGTCTGGGTCCAAGAATAAGAGGTGAGAATACCAGCTCTGAAAAGCTGAGGAAACATTCATTTGAGGATTTAATCTGATTCCTGACTTTCTAATGTTCATTTAGACAGGGGACTGATGTGGGTAATGGTAAATTTGAAAAGAATAGTTTTATATACAGTGATCTGTCATAGTCCTCTATATCTTTAATATTCTTGAGGTAACTTAGGGGGTTTGGTTTGTTTCTGTGTGTATGTTGTCTTTATTTCTAACAGTGATTTGTCTGGTGGGTAACAAGCACGGGTTGTCTTTTTTTTTATGACTGCAATTTTGTGTTTAATACACATTGTGAAGCCAAGAGGATTCTGGATTTTTATCACTGAAGTGTTGTACATTCACTCCCCATCAAAAGTAGCATAGGCTCAAGTAGAAAACCCACAAATAGATTTTCTAACTTGCATAAGATATACACCTTCCTGGAATTTCTTTGCATTAGGAATAATGTAGGAAGAGTCTCTAAACTTTGGATTAAAGGGAAACCAGGAACTGCTTCTTCAGATGTGCAGTTTCTGACGATCACCAAGATGTGTGTTAACCACTGGAGAATCTTTCTCTGACTAGAAAGCTGTACTGTATTTTGCGTATATTGTTCCTGTGTAATTGAATAATTGCCCATTGTGTTGTTACTACTATTCAGTCTGATTATATTTACCTGTAGCCACGATTAAGTGCATTAATGTCCCTTGCAAGTTTTAGGTCTTTTTTTTGACACAATTCCTCAAGCTTTTAAGTGCAATCTTTTTTCTTTTTTTTCTTCCCCTTCAGTTCTGTCACTGGACAGAATCTCTTCTATAAAGTGAAGCTGTCATTTGCAAACTGTGAACAAGGAGGAATTTTAAAAATCTTTTAAATGTTCTGGGGTAACTGGAAAGGCTGGCATGGTCTCTTTTCTTGTTTTTTTTTTCTCTTGTGCTCTGTGCTTTTTTTCCTCAAACTTGCTTTTCAGTGCAGATGTGAACATGCCATCGAACTGTAATAGTTGGCAAATATTCTGTTTTTCACTTGTGAAAGTGTTTTCTACACCAGGAGGCCACATGAAACCCAGGAGGAAGGGTAACAAGTTATTTTGTTTGGCTTTTTTTTAATCTCTCTGAACCATTCAGAGTGAATCCACACTGAGTGTCATCTGGATGTGTGCTCTTTCATTTAAAATTAATATACAGCAAACAGCATCTACCCTAAGCAAACATTTCCTAGGATGAAATGTATCAGTCTTCTCCATCCCTGCCCATGGGAAGAAACAAATTACTTGTCTATGTAAACAAAGAGAAGTACTTTTTTTTTCTGCTGCTATGATATATGATGTCTTTTGCACAAGTTGCATAAATTCCTTATCCCCAAAGGTAAAGTGTTGCCATCAGTAGTGGTTTCCACAAACATTTCCTCTTACTGTCCTCAAATCATAGAACAGCCCAGGTTAGAAGGGACCTTGCAGGTCATGTGTTCCATCTGGTTTCTTATAATGTTAAAATTTTCCTTTAATGTCATTTTTGTCTTGATGCCTATGTACATTTTCAGTGGCTCAGGTCATGCATGTGTTGAAATGACCTCTCGTCCTGATACTGGTTTATTTTGCTCACTTATTGGTCTCTATCGATGTTGTTCTTTTTAATCTTAAAATGACTTTGACAACAACTGTCTATGTGCGTGTATAGTGCCGTGAAAGTTAAAATACTCATTAACATCAGGGAATTCTGAATGTGATTGTAATAGAAAGAATAATATCAGATTTTGAAAACAGGTTAAAAAATAGAAAGAACTTTATTTTCTCCTCACAGTAAGGAGTGGCAAGTTTCTTATACCTTCTGTATAAAGCTGTATATGTCTGTTAAAGAGAAACCTGCTCTTCACAGTGTTTATGTGTTTATATGCCTCTAAAGTAAGTATTAGCAGGTTTGCACAAAGATATTAAAAGCAGAATAATTAAAATCGGTCTTATTTCATTGTGTTGAACTGTGCATTTTTATTTAGATACAAAGCTTTCTAAGTTAAATATTTTAGTCTGATTAAAGAGAACATAGCATATTTGTACTAAACTCCTCAAATCATGAATTACCGCAATTTTTATTTTAGTAGCTAAATCTTAGGTTTCCTTCCAGAGACTTTTTTGGAGCCTTTCAGGCTCTTTTCTCTTATCCTTGGAGCCTTTCAGGACGAGGAATTGTTAACATTGCTGAATCACTTTAAATTGTCTCAGCTTTCCTTATGTACTGGTGAGAAACTCCCAGTCAACACAATTACGGAGAACACTTGCAGCTGCGTGCTCAGAGGCTGAGGTCTTCTGATTGATCTGTTTGTTGGTATCTCTCTTAGCTGTGTCAGTGTAGTGAACAATAGAAGTCATATATTCACATAAACGTGTCAGTGCCTTGTATGTAGGTATTCTAGCTGACAGTTATAACGGAATATTGTGCAGACTAGGTATGTTTGTGGGGTGTTGAAAGGAGAACTTATAATGTAAATGTATCATGAGAGAGACACTGATTTCAGTCTGAAAACATACAGTTATGTGGGTTGGGAAATGATGCTTATACTTTTCAAAGCTAATAGTTTGTTAATTTTTAGCTAATTTTCAGTTGTTAGATTATTTTTTAAGAACTGTGTATTTCTTTGTGATTAATTTCTGTTAACTTATTTTTTTTTAATCTTCTTTATTTTAATGTGTGCCTGTTTGCCCATAAAGGGATATTACTCTATGAGCCCTTGTGATGACGGATATGTAAGTGTCTATATCTTTATATCCTTTCACATGCCTGCTTAGTCTGTCACAGTCTATATTTCTCTTCATTTCACAATGTGTAACAATTTTCTGTGCATTTTAACTTGTCATGATATTAATTGTATGGGTGATGAAGAACCAAAAAATGTGGAAGGCTTGGAATTTCTGCATGAGCAGAATAGAAGTTCTGAGTAACCTTACAGCTTCATAATACACTTAACACAGCATGTCAACAAAAGAGTAGCTTTGTCTACAACTTCTACATTAAATACTACTGCTTATACCATGCAGCAAGCAATTGTTTTTTCCATCTGAACATCAGGGTCTATAGCATACACTGTCCCTGAAATATGCCCAAGTCTAGCTGATCCCACACCACCTTTGACAAAGTAAATAAACATTATCGCTTAACATAGTAGAGCAAATTGAGTTGTGCTCTTCAGAGATGTCATGTTTTGCGTGTTTGCATTTTTAATTTCTAAAGTAAAACTTCTGGAGTAAAGATTGTGAAATCTTTTTATAGAATTAAAATCTATCTTCTTCCATTGAAAACTGGACAAGCAAAATGGGATTCTGTGTATGGCCTATGACTTCTGTAACCCAGATGGAAGTTTGGCAACAAGTACACCATAAGTATCTAATTTTGTCCATAGTCAGTGCATTCTTTGCAAAGAGAGGAAATGAGTCTACTTCTAAGTAATTCAGTATGTAGTCAATTCATAAAGGTGATTGACACCAATTCTGAAAAATGTCAGTGAGTATTCTACTCAAAATAATCTATATTTATATTTTTTATCTTTCTTTGGTTAAAACAAGATTTAATCTTTCAAGAACAACTACTCTTTTTTAAAGATGTCACCTTGAATTAAGTGATCCCTGTGGGCACACAACTTCCTGCTTAAAACAACATTTGTTGCGAGAAATTTTCCTAGAATTATTTAATGCAATGGGCTATTTCTTTTTATCTTTATGTAGGGAACACTAGCCCCATTCACCTATGTTTAAAATATCACCTGTATTAATCAATCCATTCCATTTGGTGATGTGAATGTTCATAACAGACACCTTTTGCTTGACATTTAGCATTTTGTTCCCTCTCATAATGGTCTGGTTTGAGATACAGAAAAGTTTATTACAGATGAAAATTATTTATTAAATTGTCTTTGCTTAAGACAATTTTTTTACTTATACAGGTAGCCTTAGTTAAATGTAACTTTATATGATGTAAAATGTAGTAACTTAAAGCACAGAGTTTATAAAGTTTCTGTAAAGCTAGCTGACTCTAATTCTGAGGTATTTCTTGAATAGAGATAGCCTTCAGCCACCCTTCACTGTTTACATGTGGTACTTAATACTTTTTTCTGACATTTTTTCTTGTCATTACATGATCACATGGTATTATGGTAACTCTATGTACAGAAATCTGTATATAAATCCGTCTTAGATGGCAAGTGGGAAGTTTTCATAACCACATATCCGAAGTGTAGGTAAAAAAACTTAAAAACATTTGCAGATCTTAGAAGTTTGCGTAGACCTGCCACCTTACACAAGCTCAGAGTCTAATCCACATATAGCAGCCTTGTTGTCGTTAGATATAACAAATGAGCTCAGCAGAAATTTGAATTCTAATGATATGTACAAATTTGCTCAAACCCTGATTTTACTCTTCACATATTCATCATGTATCTTTGATTATTAGTTCTGAATCTGCATTGAATTTACACTGGATTTTTATAGCACGTTTTCAGACTGGTAACTGAGGACAGAATCTGGCTTTCAGCTTTATTCAGCATATTATGAATATATACATTAAATAGCAAAGTGGAGTTGGTTTGCATACTGGGCTACAGTATTTGATAAAATCAGTTGTGGTTTTAGCTTGCATATGAGATGCATCTGTTTTCTTTTATAAATATTGTTTTTATTTTTATTCCCTTTGAACTTTTTTGTTTTATTCCACATTGTTCGTATTCATGTCTTGTTTCATTCAAAAATGAAGGGCTGCCATCTGTGGCTAATCTGCATCATGACAGAGTTACTGGACTTAATATGGCACCTGGTTTGGCTTTGGCAAGAACCAACACAAACATAAGTCATATCCCATGATCCTACCACAATGAGCTATGCTTGGGCTGTTGTTTTCTTGTGTTTGTCTGTCTTCCTTTCCTTAATGTACCTAATTTCTGCATGTGTTACAATTACGACAGATGATTCTGTCTGAACATGGGCTTTGCATGAAAAGTATTTTGTTCAAGATTAAGTCTGTGAATTCTGGGAGTCAGCTATTGCAGATGAGTCATGTACACCCCATGTTTTTCACACTTGTTCATTTGCTGGCAATTTAAGGAATCCTGTTACTCAAAAGGTTGAGTTAATATTTAGTGTGTTCCAGGAAAGGTAAGATCAGGGAAAAGCCTTGGGAGAAAATGCTGAGGAAATAAATTCTTTGTAGTCTAAGAAATCCGGTAGTAAAGAGGAGCTGTGTAAACTTGGCTGATTGAGGCATTGTCTGGTAGTTGATGTGATTGATGTGCAATAAGGAAGTTGCTTATCAGCAGTGCCTGTGACTGCCTTCAGTCTGTGGGCTTGGATTCATCACCTGAAGATGAAGATTGTAATGTTACCTTATGAGAATATGAAGAGTTTGCTTTCTAGGGAGAGTTTTGGGGGCTATGAATGCATAGTGCTGATAGTTTTACTTTCTCTTATCCAATTGTTTGATTGCAGCTGTTTAAGTCCCAAATTTCCAGCATCCAAATACTTTCCCAAAAGCACAGTATACATGGAGTTTTGCATTATTGCCACAGGAACAAGAAGTTACCAGAGTTAAGCACTTAGATTTGAGAATGAGCATCAGGACAGACAACAGGTCTATGATGGTCAAAAAAACCCCAGAAGGCCCAAATGAGCTCTGTTCTGACCACTTCCAGCCTTCAATATTAACCTTTTCATCAGTTAAACGTATCCCTTTGTTCCTGAAAATAATTTCAAAGGCTTCATCTTTTTACGTGTATCTGCAACATAGAAGTCCATTTATAAAAGCATATGGCTAAAGTTTTGTGAAGAACTGTAAGAGTTTTGTTACTAATTTGACAGGTTTTTGTTCCTGAGAATCTCTTGCTTTTGCCTTCTGTGGTAGAAATGTGCGAGAGGGGTGAATATTGGTTCAGCTGGCAGTCCCACCAGAAGTAGTGGGTGTGGAAGTTTTGCTTTGAATCTTCTGTATACAAAGATAGTGGTGAAGACAATGATGTTTTTCCACTGGCTTGATTATATATCTTTAATGAGGTGTGCTGATGTAAGTAAGCCCAAGAGCTGATTTGTGGAACCCAGCTATATTTGAGGCGTGGTTTTCCTTTTGTTAAAGCTAATGCGCAAGTCAAGAACTAGAGCTTAACACAGCTTTTGGGAGTTAGGTTCCATAAGGATATTTAACTCTGTAATTATCCCGAGATTGGAACAGCTCAGCTCCATAGCAAAGAGGAGAAACAGAAACAAACAAACAGATACTACCTAGTGAAATGTCAAAGGAGGTGTTAAGGCCAGTGTATTTGCTTTGGTGGGCTGCCAGCTAGTAGAATCCATAATGCGCATTTACTCTTTCGTGCTTGTGTGGGGCAAGGCACTTTGTGAGGTGGAGAAGAGCACCCTGCTTAAGGAATAAGAGTATCAAACCAAGATAAAATGAAATGTTCGGTTAGGTCTGTATTTTGGTGTTCTAATTAGAAATGTTCATGTGAAGGAAGCAATGAACTTTTCAGCAGAATATGGGTTGTATTACCCAGGTTTAATTTCCACTCACTTCCATAACACAGTGCTTCCTATTGCTGAGACTGCTGCTTCCAACTGTCCAATCTGCCAGCATTAAAAACGATGCATGGGGCTCAGTACTAACTGATACAGCCTTTCGGGGGTATTGGCTTGAGCTCTGAGCTGGAACAGGCACTCCTTGATGCTGCTGCAGGAGGTGGTAAAAGCAGCAAAGGAAGGGATGCAGAGGTGGTGCCAGCCAGACTGGCAGTAGTCTAGGAGCAAGAGCTGAAAAGGCCATGGTATGAGGAGGAGAAAGGCTGGCATGGGTAGCAGGACTCTGGACGGTCTGGAGTGCCACATGTCCTCCTTCTTTAAAAGCAAGAATAAAAAGATGAAAAGTTGAGAGTTTATCGCGAGAGGTAGCCTGGGTGTTGAATTGAATGATCAATACTTGGTGGCACTGCACTTTGATCACTTGTTTGAAAATTAAACTGACTGAAAGTCTTCTCAGACCCATTTAGCAGTAGATGGAGGGGTGTAATGCTGTCCCTCAGCATGCTGCATGGCTGTATGCTTCACAGGGTGCCTCATATGTCTGACCCAAAGTAGTGCAGACCCTGAAATTGTATCCCTACAAGACACAGGAGATCTTCTGGATTGTGTAACCGCCAAAAAAATGTTCAGAGATACAATTCTCTAGCAATATTTTGCTGCAACTCTTATTCTCATTAAATTCTTAAAATAGAGGTCTAGATAAATTCCAAAACAGGAAGATATTTGAACCAGAGTTGTTACTATACTCTATCAGCTACTGTTAACTTGTTTTGCTGAATCATACCGCTGTGATCAAATGTTAAGTATGTTGGTTTTCTGTGTGCGGTGGTTGTGCCATAAGCATTTGATTATTTAATTGCAAAATAATAATTTTTAGCTTTTTCATACTGCCATTCATTGGTAGACCTCGAATCCCAGCTTATGCAAGAGATTTCTGCCTCTGTTTGCTTTCCAGATGAGAAAAGTTGAGTCCCAGGGATGCGAAATGGCATGTTTCAATTCTATCTGCAGTCGGTAGCTGGATCAGGCCTAGAAGCAAATCTCCTGAGGCCCAAACTGATGTCTCACTCAGTATTCCATACTAGACGGATACAGATTAGCTACTAATGACTAATTGCAGTCATAAAAATGAAGAAATGAAATCTCTGCCTGTAATGTGGTTGCATTCTTTCTGCTTATCAGTGGTGCTGCCCATAGTCAACCAGATTCAGAAATGAAAGTGCAGTGAAAGATAAACTAACGCTGAAAAAATGATCCCATTGCTGTTTTGCCTCATTGACGTAATACGAGGTGTTTCCTTGTTGTTTTCCCAGAAACACCGAAAGCCTGAGAGTGCTTCCGTCTCCCTGTGCAGGTTCTAGTCTGATAAACTTGGGTCCAATCAGGAAAAAATGCTGGACAAGAAGGCACTTTCTCTTGGTGGTCCTGCCCTCAGAGCTTTGGTGTAGGGTCTGCCTCACTGTGGTGCCTTTTTGGTGCAGGTAGACCACAGAGCCAAACCATATTAAATGGTTTGCTGGGCTCCATCTGCCAGGTGACAAAGTAATTTGGGAATTAATGGGACTTTGTCCTGCTTGATCTGATTTTTTTTATTATTTTTTTTAACCTGAATTTAGAAAAATATTTCCTAATTGAAGTTTCTGTAGTTTGAAATTTGTAACATCTTGCAAACTCTTACACTTGCCAAAAAGTTTTATTTGTGTGCAAGGGTGATGCACGTACCGATTATATATCTACTAAATATCTGCCAGATATATATCTTTTAGTTCATTTTAGTTGGAGCATGTTTTTCTTTTTAAGGTAGCAAAGAAGTGATGGGTAAAAATGACTTTGTTGAGAAACAGAGAGCTTTTATATGCATCTGTTTACTCTTAGTGACCTGCCTATTTGTTTTCTCAGTACTGTTCTTTGTCTCACTTTCTCATCTACAAGAGCTCTCTCTTTTGTGTTAATGGACTGTAGCCACTTTCTTCCCATTTCCTTTAATGAAGAAGGGTGCTGAGGAAGGCAATGAAAATTATTTGTGATTTCATTGAGCACTCCAGCACAAGATGAAAGGTTTTGCCTGGGAAAGCAGTTTGTTTAAACAGAAGTTAACTTTTTATATTCATCAAAAAGGCTAAGGAGAATTAGTACAAGTAAATAAGGGGAAAGCAGTTTAGGTATGATACTTTGAAAGACATTTCTATTATGTAAAATAAACTATGATTTGAGAACTGCTGTCAAGACAGGTTGATTTTGATGTGTATGTCCTGTTGTCTGTTGTGTGCAAGTAATTTATTGACTTAAACATGCTTTCCAATGTGCATATAAGCTTGTTTCACATTTAAGAGAGCAGTTCCTTGTATTACAAAGGATACCCATGAGGTAGTGTGTTCAAGAATATGTCAGCTGGTGCAATTCAATATTCTCTATGGTATTTCATGCTTTTTGTATCCTAAATCCCTCAGTTTTAAATCTGACAATAGACATGGATTATATAGCTCCCACTGAAAGAGGCTACGTTAGAAGAGAAGACCAGTTTTAAAGGCATAAGTGGTAATGAGAGATTTTTTAGAAAGTGAGTAGGAACATCAACACAAAGAGATGACACAATATTTTGCAAATATGATATGTAGTTGACATCAGAATGCATGATATGAAGCACTCTTGTGCCAGTATTGCTGCTTCTTGGCTCACCTACAATTAGCTCTAGAAAAAGAATGTTACTGAATCAGATAACTTTTATATGGTGTGATATTCTTAAATTTTGGTTTATTCAGCAGTGATACCTGTATATGCTCTGTGTCACACTGCATCGGAAAGGAAATAACCCAGGCTTACACTGAACTTATCCTAGGCAGAACCACTGAGAAATAGTATGCTGTTCCATATTGGTTTTATCCATACTAAAATATATAATATTTTCTCTACATATTAATAGTTATATATGGGGTATATGTTAGTAGTACCAGGTACTCTGATAACATTAGTGTTGAAACAAAGAATTATAGCAAATTTGGATGCAGTGATAGATCTCCAGTGAAATTACTGAAACTTTAAGGTATGAACATTTTTTAAGTCAATACATATGTTTAACAAGTGCTTCACCTTCCTCAGTTTACTCAGTGGGCTTCAGGTGGTAGTTCCTACTCACTTTTTTCCTTTTCCTTTTTTTTCTTTTTTTTTAAATCTTTCAAGTGTAGGTAATTTTTAGAGTGTGACAGTGAAGATAACATAGCCAGATCATAACAAGAGAGGCATTTACCTGTGAAACACTGTAAGAGAAAGATAAACCCTGAAGTCCTCTCTTTCTTTAGGTGTGTTTCTGTTTTGCAGCATAAGTTTTATTGAAAAAGAACTGCAGAATCTCAGTAAAGAATTCTCTGCATGACATTCATTAGTAACACTGCTGGTGTGAAATTTGGACTAATCTGTTACTATTTCCTTTTTCTTCCTTTTTCTGATCCAGGCTTCCACTATGTTAAGAGCATCTATAGCCCCTATGTAAGTATTTATTGCTGAGCTTCATTTATATCTATAGAGAAGAGGAGGAGTAGTTTGTAAACTGAAGTGTACTGCCAGTTGTCTGCAAATGGGAACCACTCACCCTCCGTGTTCTTCCTCTGCTCTCAGTGAACAGTAAATGCAAATATGTGGCATGTATTCTTCTGTAGAGCAGGTTCAGTAACATTCTAATTTCAGAAGGATGTTGCTAATCCAGCAAATCTGCCACTCCACACCTGTGAGTTGGTTGCTGTGTTTTCTTTACTGTTTCTACACATTACAGTCCTGTTGGTGTAATTGGTTTGCAAATCCACAAATCCAGGAAAAGGGGGAATTGTTAATGTGCATTTTGGATTACTTCAAGTTTAATTTTTTTTGTAACTTAATACATTTTGACTTATAAGATTGAATAGAGATGGTATATCTGAGCTAAAGGTTTTATTAAATTTTTTATATGCTGTTTTGCTCCTTTTATTGTTTACAAGATAGTTAAAGGGACATTTACACATATAACACAAAAATTGGTTTTAGAAGCTAGGAGTAAAAAATTCTTAGTGGTATATAAATACTAAAATTAAAGCATCAACTGGAAGCAGTTTTGTTTAGGGAAACTTCTGTTACAGTGTGAAAATTCAAAATAGCAAGATAGCACTGATGAATGGAAATTGGTCCTGTGTTAAGTCTTATGTTAAGCCAGCATAGTTCAACCTGTAAAAATCTATTCGGCCCCCTCCTTTGCCTTGGAGAAGAGATTTTTGTGTGCTTGAGGGTTTAGAGGTGAAGTTGTAGCTGCAGCTTGTTACTGTGTCTGTTTATAACTATGCTAACAGCCATTGCCAACTGCCCTCATGCCTTTGTGGTCTGCAGAGAGAGGAAAAAAAATGTTATTGTACTGTTTTGTGCTGCAAAAAAGCTCACATCATCCATTGTCAGCATTTAGTGTCTGCAAGTTATGACAGTAAATAAGCTGCATGCATGGTGAAAAAGTAAGTCCAAGTTTAAAAAAAGTCTGTTGTTCCAAAGTGGTAATGGTAATAAAAGTAACAAAGGTGTAAAAATGTGGAAGCTCTTTTCCTGAAGCAGACTTCCTGTTTTGGCTCTTCTCACCTCAGTAACATCAGCTGTACTGAATAAGGAGAGAGAGTTTTGATGAATGTCTTTCCCTGTTTCATTGTAGGAAGATGCAGGATGTGCCTTTGTTGCCCTCTTTGGATTATGAGAAGGTGAAGAAAGATTTGATTACAGGGAATGATCGTCTCAAGGCCTTCTTACTGCAGGCTCTGCGCTGGGTAAGGGAGAAGGCTTCTGTAGAAAAGAAATAGGTCCCTTCTGTAGGAATCCAGAATTCTGTTTTGCAAGCAAGATGATTGTCATCATAGGCAATTTGTCTCTTTGTCAGTGAAGCTTGCTAAGGTTCTTGAGATGATGAAGAAAACCCAGGCAGTAGGTATCTATTTGTAACTGTGTTGTCCTCCTCCAAGGAAAGCCAGATAGGAATTTCTGGGATCTTCAGTGAAAGTAATTTCTGATGTGTTTTCAAAGAATTTTTTGTTGGTTTAGGCAGCTACTTTTTAACATGTATTGCCCTGGTTTAGGTTTATGTAAATACTGCTATATCTAAGAAATACTTGACTCTAATCACCAGTTTTCCTTTATAATCAAGATATTCTACAAGATCCTGCCTTTTGGTTGACTCAGGTCATGTAATGATGTTGCATTAAAAAAAAAGGTGACAACAGGAAGTTACATTTTCCTGCTGAAAAGGAAGCTCATGGGTTCAAAATGACAGACATGAAAGACTGCAATAGAGGAATTGTGATCAAGCTTCAGTGTTCATTTTCACTAAAGAAACATCCATTGGGTCTAGAGCAATGATTCTTCTTCCCCAGTACTCTGTCTCATGTGTTTTAGAAAGTCACCACATCTGTAGCTCTAGAGGGGCTTTTTAACTTTATGGGAAGTAATGCTGTATCTTTCCTGTCGCAGTGGTGACAGCTCCCACATAACCGTTTTTTAATGGATCACTTAGCTGAGGTCAGGTCAGTTCATTTCTTTGTCTCTTAGATCATTGAGGTTGAATTCCTTCTCCCCATGAGAAGAGGTTTCTCAGGTATGGGGTATCATCACATTTAAAGTCGTCAGTGTTCATCATTCCTGTTACCATTTATTTGACTGGCTTATTTATGTTATTTATTTTAGCGCTTGACAAAATCATATCCTGGAGAACAGAGGGACACTGTCTTGCAAGCCTACATCAGTAACGACCTCCTAGATTGCCACAGCAATTGTCAGGTCAGCTGGAAGGGGTTTTCTTCCAACTCCTGTGTGATACTGCTCATTTGTTTCTATAAACTGAACAGAAAATTTTCTCACCCTCTGGAAGGGGTAAGGGGATTAAAAGAAGTGCCAAAATGTGATACATTTAACTTCAGCATCTCAGCCTTTAAATGTTCATGGACAAAGCTTTGCGTTACAAGAGCTCTCAATGTAGATACAGTTCTTGTAGATGAGCAGAAGTTTGTTACCTCTCCTGCTGCTTAAAGTCTGTGGGTTGAGCAAATGCCTACCCAGGTCCTTATTTAGGAGTTAGCTCTTGCTTATCAGATGCTATGTCTCTTTTTGAGTGATGATGTATTGTTAGATAATACACTCAATCCATTTCACTGATCTAGGATAAGAACTAAATTAGGACTTCAGTCTCAATACCTCTATAGAATATCTGATTATGCACTTGTAATTACATGTTCAGCAGTATTTCCATGAATTTAGAATAGATTGTTACCTTTCTTTAGAAAGGGGAATTGCTGGCCTGTTGATTCTGAAAGGTTGTTTCAGTCACTGATAAACCAATGCTATTGCTAACAAAAGCGTGACTTTTTTTCCTCTTGTAATAGTGAATTTTGTGCATGGTTGAATTCTTCAGTTGTTGGAAGCAGTGGGCCTGCTTGTTACGTTGTAGCCTCCATTGTCATTGCAACAGTCACTTATACTATTACTTAAAGGATTATTTAATGAATGATCTGGTTTTCTCCCTGTGAATTTCTATAAGAGGGGAGTTATGTATAAGTAATGCCTGAAGTAAAACAGATTATAAATAGCTTGCAATGTGGGATTCTTGATAAGTTACTGAGCTGCTTTCCCACAGTCTTAGTAGTCAAACAAAAGCATTCAGGTAACATTACTGGATTTACATTCATCAGTAAAATTAGGAGTTTGTTGATTTTTCTCATCACTGACTAAATACTCATTTTAGATATCAGATTTAACTGATAACAGTGTTGGTTCATTTTAATTCCCTCCCTACACCTCAATGGTGTTTTAACCAGATTGAGCTGAGGAGCTATAATTTTCTTATTTCTTCATTTTGCATCTTTCCCTCAGCCTCTATCAATAAAAAAGGTAACTGGGAAATTTTAAATCATATTGAGAGTACTTAAGATATCAATATGTATACAAAGATTGTTGTGAAAATTTAACAAAGCTTTTAAAACATAGAAGACTTGTTTGGGTTTTATCCTCCTTTGGTGATTTTTTTTATTAATGCTTGTTTCGTTTTTCAGGGAAGTGTCCTCAAATTATTACATTCTGCAAGTGTGGTAGTCAGGCAGTACATGGCAAGGCTCATCAATGCTTTTGCTTCGCTGTCAGAAGGTAAAAATTTCCTTTAAAAAATCATATAATGTAATGCTGGCTTATAGGTACTTCACAAGTGTGTGTCACCACATGTGGAAATTTAGAGCCTTATTTGCACCATTTTTCTAGGGATTCACTGTCTTTTGTTACATGCTGTTTTTCAGTATCTGGAAAGTTTTAATTTTGACACTGTATGTTCAGCATTTCTGACTTCTTTCGATGATTTATGGTCTATGTGGGAGCTTACCCAGGGGCTGCTTTTGATACAGTCCTCAGTCTCTTCATGAGAGTTAAAGAAAAAAAAAAAAGATAATTCCCCATTAATTAAAGGTCCTGTAGGCAGAGCTGCTACCAGGCTGTGTACCAGTAGCTAGCGCAGCTGTTCTCTCATCTTCCTGGTCCTCACCTGAATAAACTTTGTGCATCACTGCTAACTGTATGCAGCTTCATATCTGCCTGACGCAAATTAGCCGGAGATTTGATGCTACTTAAGGAGCTAACTATTGCTAGGAAACTGAAATGCCATTTCAGTCAATACCAGGAGGGCACCTAGTTTCCTGAACAATTTGGACATATCTGTTGTTTTGAAAGAGTGTACAAAACTGTGATATAATGGAAAGCATGCACTGAAAGAAGAGCAGTGGATTCAGCATGAGCTTCTGATGCCCCAGGTATCTCGAGTAAATGCAACTGCTCTGCTAGACAACTCCTTTGTGAAGGTTTGTTTGGGTCTTGGCACAAGACTCTGGTTTGTCAAGAAGAAACTGAGGTCAATATGCTTACTTTTCCAAGGAGAAGGAACTTTTCTGTCATAAGCTGATAGCGTCTCTTCTTTCATCACTTTTTGCACCAGGTCGTGTCTATCTTTCTCAGAACCCAACGTTGCTGCAAATGCTGGAGGAGAGACTGAAAGCTGAAGACAAGGACTCCCTTACACGGGAGAATGTTCTTGGGGCTCTGCAGAAATTCAGCCTCAGGTGATGAAAGTGCAGCACAGAGTGGTGACAGCTGGAGAGGAAATACAGGCTAGCTAGGCTCTGTTCAGGGAGGAAAGAAGAGCACTTGATTTTCTTTTAACAATCATCAGAACCTCTGGTGACTGTTGAAAGCAGAGTCACTTAGTAGGGAGAACATAATTTTGCTGACTGAATTAACCTTGACCTCCTGTCAAGAATCAAATAAATGTACATCTCCTGCCATAAGCTTGTGCGCTTTATATGTATTCCTTAACTGAACGGAGTGAGAATCTTAATGTAGAATGTTGTGACGATTCTACATAGAAAAAAAAGGGTTGTGTTACATTCCAAAGCATAAGGTTTTCATTATTCTTTCTGCAAACATTTTTCAGGGATTTAATCTTCATCCTGTTGATCCTCTTTCCTGGAGATGTCTATGCATGGGCTGTCTTTTTTCTTATTTTTGCATTAGAAGCCTGACTTAAATGCCCATCATAAATGTCACGCAAAAGCAGGCAAGGGCATGATGTTGCTGTCATTTATCAAATAAATACGATCTAGGAACTCTATTTTCACAATACTTAGGAGGAATATTCAACCCTGAATAGTTAACTAAATGTAAGGAGGTAGATGGATGTGTTTAGTTCTTGTTATTTTCATTCGTGTTTTATCTAAATTAAGACTGTGTTGGGTTTGGGAGGGGTTGAGGGGTTTTGTTTGTTTGTTTGTGCTTGTTGAAGAATGAGGGCTGCTTTTGGATTTGCCTCACATTGACCTTGTGTAGATGAAGCACATTTACATGTGCTGTGGGTAATATTCTGCACTGCTTGCTGACATGATACCTTATACATCTTTATAATAAAAGAGAATAAATCTTCATATCCAACTGCTCGAAATCCTAAGCCAATCTTGGAGAAAATGTTTTTTTCTGTTAAAGCAGCTGTCAGCAGTACAAGTTAGTTGAATTTTGGGGCCTAGGCACTAAGCTACTGAAAACAGAAGGTTTTTTACTTTTTAAAAAATAACAGTTAATCTTTTAATCTCACAGAACATTCATTCCAGATACTTGGCCCTTATAATTCTCTGGACTTGCTCCAACAGCTTCATGTCCTTCTTATGTTGGGGAAACCCACCTCCTTTGACCTGCTGGTCATGCTCCTTTTGATGCAGTCAGGAGTTGAAAGAATTTGTGATTTAAGAATCTGCAGAGAAAAGAGCAAATAGATTTAAGCAGCAAAATCTCATTTTTCAAATCAGCAGTATAAAAATGCTATAGTGCTATGGTTACCTATAGCAGAAACAGTAATTAATTTGTGTTATGGGTCTGTTGTGTACAACTGACTTTTTTTTTTTTACCAATTTTAAGACAATTGAAAACGCAATTTTAGGACTTAGAAGCCTTACAAAACAGTGTAGAAACTGACCTTAGCAGTTAGCACATTTAAAAAAACGAAACACGAAAAACTACACGCACACAATAATGTGTTTTAGTCCTCTATACCTATGTGAATCTGTATGTTCAGCTTCTTTAGGCTTTGTTAATTCTTTAGTTTGATTCTACCAAAATGGGTAGCTGTGGGTTGCTGTTTTTTGGGATTTTTTTTTTGTTGGCAGGCTAGTGTATGGCAGGTAGATGAAGTAGAGTTTTAATGTGCTTATATCAGCTATAACTGTATTTGAAAACTATTCATGTTGTAGTCTGATTTTTGTGGGTTTTGTTTGTTGTTTGTTTTGTTTTTTTTAATCCTAGGCGTGCACTGCAGTCAGCAATGATCAAAGATGGGCTCATTTTCTGGCTGGTTGATGTTCTCACGGATACAGATTGCCTGTCTGATTACACCCTGGCGTATTCTGTTGCCTTGCTCATGAATCTTTGTCTGCGGAGTGCAGGTGTCTTACATTTTTAATTACAAGCTAATTCCAAGAAATGGAAAGGAAAGGTTTTGAATCTGTGTTTATGATATACCTGGTTTCTTTCAAGTGATTATAATTAGTTGCAAGGATTCGCATGACCTGAGATATTTGAGTGTTATAACCAATGCTTTGGAGCAGATCTTTTTTCCAAGAATCCCAAACTATGGAGAGCAGCTTCATCAAAATCTAAAAAATTAAGAAATTGGTTTATCACCAGAAATCTCTGAGATTCAATTCTTGGCTTTTATTCATATGTGAGCCATTTCTATATTCCAGGCACACTTTTCAAAGGACACTTTATACTTGTGTGAGATATTTGTGTATCAGAATGAAAGTCAAAACTGAGTTGATGAGCAATGGCAAGACGCTTAAGCTTCACCTTGTAGAATGAAATACTTGCATGCTTCACTTCTACAACAGAGATTCCCCCTATGAAAATAAGGTCCTGCCTATGTCCAAGAGACTTAAAAGGAGCTTAAAGTAAGTTTTCTTTTATAAAAGAAAGTAATTTAAGGGTGCAAAATTAACTGCTTGCCATAAGCAAAAATAATGCCTCTGTTAAAATTTTTTTAATCCCTTTGTGTTGCTTCCTGACCAGGGTTACAAGTGTATAAATCCAGAGTAACTCCACTGATTTCACCTCAGTTGTGCTGAGCATCGTTTGGCAGGAACAAGGAATAGTATTGCTCTATGAAAATTATACTTAGTACTGATTTTAAAAAATAGGAAAGGAGTTTGGTCTGATGTCTTATATTTCTTCAAGCATATTTGTTTTCTCACTTTGCAGGAAAGAACATGTGTGCAGAGATTGCAAATCATGTGCTCAGAGTTCTCGCTGATCTTCTTGGCCACGAGAATTATGAGGTATTTGTATGACTACATTTGGGTTAATGAAAAGGTGGAAAGAAAAATTAAGGAAGAAATGCAAGAAAGTAAATTGGTTTTGCTTCCCTTGTCAGGCCCTCATGTGATTAAGTTGCATGAAATTTTCCTGAAATTCACAATTATGTGAATTTTATTTCGTTGGGTACTGGTCTTTCTAGATATAATTATGTTTTCCTTTAACAAATGTTGGCAGCTAAGAATGATTCTTTTAGATGCATAGTTAACATGCAATCCATGTGCCTTCTTGATCACAGTTTCTGATGCTGTTTACATGTTGTCTCACACCAATCATCTCAAGCTTAAATAGTTCACGTGATGAACAATGTGTGGTGCAAGCCCATTATGCAAAACATCAGGTACAAAGAAGCAAATTTTTTAGTAGTTTTAAGGAATATTATAAGATGGTACACTTGTGACATTCAAGCCCCAATATATTTTTATCTACCACTTCATTTAACCTGCCACTTAACTCCTTTGAGGTTTCTTTTCTGTCTCCAGACACACTTAGAATCATAGAATCATAGAATAGTTAGGGTTGGAAAGGACCTTAAGATCATCAAGTTCCACCCCCCTGCCATGGGCAGGGACACCTTGCTCTAAACCATATCACCCAAGGCCTTGTCCAACCTGGCCTTGAACACCGCCAGGGATGGAGCATTCACAACCTCCCTGGGCAACCTATTCCAGTGCCTCACCACCCTAACAGGAAAGAATTTCCTCCTTATATCCAATCTAAACTTCCCCTGTTTAAGTTTTAACCCATTACCCCTTGTCCTATCACTACAGTCCCTAATGAAGAGTCCTTCCCCAGCATCCCTGTAGGCCCCCTTCAGATACTGGAAGGCTGCTATGAGGTCTCCACGCAGCCTTCTCTTCTCCAGGCTGAACAGCCCCAACTTTCTCAGCCTATCTTCATATGGGAGGTGCTCCAGTCCCCTGATCATTCTTGTGGCCCTCCTCTGGACTTGTTCCAACAGTTCCATGTCCTTTTTATGTTGAGGACACCAGAACTGCACACAATACTCCAGGTGAGGTCTCACAAGAGCAGAGTAAAGGGGCAGGATCACCTCCTTCGACCTGCTGGTCACACTCCTTTTGATGCAGCCCAGCATACGGTTGGCTTTCTGGGCTGCAAGCACACACTGCCGGCTTATGTTCACTTTCTCATCAACCAGCATCCCCCAAGTCCTTCTCTGCAGGGCTGCTCTGAATCTCTTCTCTGCCCAGCCTGTAGCTGTGCCTTAGATGCTACATTAAACTACCAGAGAGGAAAAAACTGAAACAGATTACTTATTTCTACCTAACACTTTTCAGCACATCACTATGATACTTGCTGTCTGCTATATAAAGCATTGCTTCAGCTGTCTCTGCAGAGGGGCACTGCTTTAACCATGGAGTAAAATTCAGGGCAGGAGAAAATGCAGGCAAATGTTGTATGAAGATGAAATCAGGGAGGCAGTATTTTAACCAGGGTATTCTATGGTGAATGTGCAAGGTATCTGGGGACTTGAATAAAAATAATGTAAACTTAGGTGTCTTATGTTTATAATGCAATGATTGTATCATCAGGTTTTTTATTTTGAAAATAGAGAATGAATTACAGTCAAGTGTTTAGTCCATGTTCTATGAAATCATATGATGTAGACCAGTTCTTTACTAGCACTGTTTTGAATAAGAGGAAACTTGGCATACCTTTATTGGACTCTTCCACTAACTTTGTTTTTATGACCGATGAAAGTTTAGTACAATACATACTAACACACAATAACATCCCAGTCTCTAGACAGAAGTACTTGGAAGAAGTTCCCGTACTGTTGAAGTCTGTGCCTTAGAATGACCTTGAAATTTCTCTCAGAAGGTACATTCTTACAAACTAGTTTGCACCAGCACATCTGATAGAAGTTTTGTTATCAAAGCCCAGGGTAGAAGGCTGTCCAGAGAGCTTTCTGAGAAGTTGTGGAATCGCTGTGTAAATCCCAGTCCCTTATCTTTCCTTGCTTCCCCTGCTCACAGCCTAGCTTATTCTTTGTTTCCCAAGGATGTAGACAGAGGATGACTGGAAATTTTAGTGCTCCAAAAGTAACTGGTCAATACAAAAGATCACATAAGTTCTGATAAAACTAGTTTGACAGATCTGGTGGCTTTAACTAGCCATAATACAGAGCTTTCATCCTGGCTCTTTTTCTGCCTCTACTGAGGGACGATATACAGGCAGCAGAGTGAGAGGATGTTTGAACCTGTTACAGCTACAAAGCTTGAAGCCTGTTTTGAGTTCATGCTGACAATCTTGTCCCTGTTCTTTGTCCTCTCTTTTTTTGCACTGCCACTAGTGTTTGTCAGGAACTAACCTTTTTCTCCATTTCTTTTTTTTCTTTTTTTATTTTTTTCTTTTTTTTTTGTTTTGTAAGGCTAGGTCAGTTTACAAGAATACAGCTTCAGAAGGGGTGTGGAGGAAATCGGCATGCAGCAGTACTGATTTAAATTAAATATATGACAGTATATTTACATCCTAAAAGTTCACCACTTCCCAAATGGGAATTTTTGCAAGTGCAGGCTAGCCTGATTATGTTCTTTGAACATAGTTCTGCACTTCTCTCTTAAATTTTGGTTATAGGCAACTGGTGTGAAGGTTTTTCTTATGGTATGATTATTTCTTCCTCTTAGATACAACCATATGTGAATGGAGCACTCTATAGCATTCTTGCCATCCCTTCTGTCCGAGAAGAAGCCAGAGCAATGGTAAGAAGTGCTGCTTTGCATAGCACAAACATCAGCGCGTGTGCCAGATGGCATGTATACAGGTACCTGTTGCGCAGTGTGCAGCAGGGTTGTGAGGTAGGAGCCATGTCATTTTGAGAAGGGAATCCCCAAGAGGCTCTCCACTTTTCATATCTAGTATTCAGGCAGGTATGAACGTAGGTCACAAACACTTCTGCTATATTTGCTGGTCTTTTCCCAGAAGTGAAACCCCAACAGTGTGAAGGATTCTGCCTAAATTATAAATTAAAGGTGTTATTTTCGGGATAGTCTTGTCCATAGACTGGCTTAGGAGATGCTTTCATGTGACCTGCTATTTCTTCCCTTTATTTAACTCATTCTGCACCAGCAAATAATCACTAAGAGGATGAGTTCCTCTTGCTGCTTTTCTTTCTGCCTGGTAATAGACATAGTTAGATGGTGAAGGCTGCAGGAGGGAGGTTTAAGCAAGACTGGGGACTTATCTCCTGTGAAAGTTAGTCTAATGGTAATGAATGTGTTTTAACTTCTGGATTTAAGGAAGCTGTTCTTGGGATAGCAGTGTATATTTTTATCTTAAGAACTAACCTAGGGAGCTATGCAAACATAATTGTTGTCAGATGTGTTACCTCACAGAGCACAGAGGATTGGAAGTCATCTTAAATGATTAAAGATGCAACATCAAACCTGTAAGGGGCCATAAAGAGAGGAACGGAATTTAAGAGAAGGTCAAAGTTTGTCCTGCTTTTTGCTTTCCTTCTTTGAACCTTGCACTGTTGTCTCTGTGAATGCAAATTTTCTGTTGACTACTGTGTACTAAGTTCAGAAGTCAGAAGCAGCAGATCTATTGGAAAAAAGTTTGCTGTTCATTGTGGGTACTTCTGCAATTAAACCTAGAAGCAATCCAGACAACATATTTCTTTGGGAAGCGTGTGGACAAAATGGAGAGCTTAGAGCTGGACACATTGGTTTGTTTCACACTGCCTCTGTTTTTCTTAACAAAAAAGAAACGTTTTAGCTAACAAAATACTCTCACTGTGATCACATGAAATGCTAAACTAGCAATGTTTTCCGCTATATCCAGGGAATGGAAGAAATTCTGCGCTGCTTTGTCAAGGAAGGAAATGCAGAGATGATCCGACAGACTGAATTTATAATCAGGCAGCTCAATTCAGGTCAGAAGAACAGATCTGAGCTGTAAATCTTTCACAAAAACCACATAAGAAAGCTCATGTTTTTACTTGGCATTGAAACTCTCAAAGAATAATAATAGTGTGATGGTCTGAGAGAGGGTGAATAGTGAATGTTAGGATTTGAATGTCAGATGTATTTTAAAATATCCTTTTGTGCTACAATTATAAAGAAGAAATAAAAGGATGAGTAAGTCCAATTCCGAAGTTTTGGGACTCTAAATAGAATGACCTTGACTGTTTGCTTTCTTGCCAGTGGCCTCACAGTAATGAGAGACTGCTGTCAACTGCAAAAATAAACAGGTGATAAAATTTCTTTTTTAAAAATGCTTGTTAAGCACTGTATTGCAGCTGTACATGAAGCTGTTCATGAAGACTATAGAATTGCTCCTCCCCTACCTGTGAATGTTATTTTTAAAAGGTTTTGTCTGATCGGTGAGTAAAAGTTGAGTGTACAGATTTCCAGCGTAAGCCTGGCTGTTTTTGCTAAGGAAATGAGTTTTTCCAGAAGTTACAGAGTATTCTATGCGAGTACTATCTTTTTGTGTCTAAAAGCAGTACAATACTGAAGAGTTTGTAGTGAGAAGTAGAGTCTTTTATTAAAAATTTGTTGAGAAATAGGCGCACACTTTCATTCATGCCTTGTCGGTAAATACACTGAGATGCCATAGTGGGATTTATGAGGAAAGAGGTATTCCACAGTGCTTCTGTTTCTGCCATTTTCTCAAATATGAATTGACTTCAATGATTGCTAGAATGCTTTATAGGAGCAAATAATTTCACTAGTTGTCTTGAATAGAACAGGATGTCTATATAAGGAGCAAGCTGAATCTTACCCTTTTAAAAGAGGGGTAATAAATAGAGATTCTGTTAAGTTGTACATGTACTCTTAAAACATTTTATTTTGCTTCTTTCTAGAAGAGCCATTAAATGATGGTATTGTGTCTGATGATGAAGAGGAAGAGAACAATAAGGAAGTAAGTGTAACGGCTTTCTGGCACCTTTTAGAAAAATCCTTAGCCTTCTAAACAGAAAATATTTGTGTCAGTAAATCAGACTTTATTTTGGTGGGTTTTGATTTTGTTTTTTACTTTAATTATTCTTGCAGTAACAAGCAAATTGGATCTGTTTCCGTTATCTTTTCTTCATGAAGCCCTACTCTTTTATTTTGGTAAATCACCTGTTGATAACTGTGGATAACTAAAGGATTATAGCTTGAAATAAGTAAAGAGATGAGTTACTGTAGCAGTAGAAATCTTGCTTTCAAGTACACCCATTTCAGCAATTAAAAAGAAAGGAAGCAAGTGAGCCAGTATATTATGGAAATAGTTTATAAGCAGGTTGTCACTGCTTTTAAAGGTGTCATAGTCCATTTGGGGTGTGATGACTTCTTTTGCTGTTTAGAAACTTTGAAATGTATTTAAAAAATTGTCTATATGTAATGAAGGGAAAGAGTAATTACAAATTAAAAAATAAGTCCCATAAGAAAATAAAATTTAACAAATTGAGAAAGCAAGCATGAGAAACTATCTAGTAGTAAACTGGTTAGCTGCCTATTTCCAACTCTGCTAATAAGTGCATTTTATACCAATACTGAAGCGTTTTTTAAGAAGCTGTCTTCAGAGAGTAATGGGTTCCCAGGTGTAGACAGCACAGCATATTCGATCGTCTGAGTTAACAAGCAAAGCAAGATGTAAATTACGTAAGGGAAATGTTAAATCCAGTCTTCACTGGTGATGTTGGCCATTGCTACATTACCCTAAGTGCATGGAGGGGCAGGGAGTGGGTAGAAAATACACTGTATAGGCAGTTAACATGGGAGTTTTAACTGAAAGAAGTCTACAACATACCATTTTTCTTTTATTGGAAAGTTCTATATGAGAAATTTGAAAGAAGAGCTATATGTCCTTGGAGCAGTGTTTGAACATAGATGGGTGTATAGGTGCATATATATGTGTATCTATATATATCATGTATTTACCCTGAAAAAGTCAATGACATTGAGAGTTAGCGATCTCTGCAAAATCTACTTGTATTAGAAATATTTACTGAAAAACAAGTTTTCAGATAAAATGGAAGGTTTTGTCCTGAACCAGCAAAGAATAAGACACAAAACTTACCAAGTCAGTTGCATCCACATTGTACTAGCTTGTTGCATGTGAACACAGATGCTACTGAACAGTGACAACCATGCTACAGTCTAAAACTTGACTGTTACTCCAGAGTGACTGAATGCATTTTCAAGTGCATGTTGAGTCTTTTGTTTTGAAAGCAGAGAAAAATGTGACTATCCCGGTTGTAATAGGTGTGGTGTGCTCTCAGCTGCCATGGGGTGCAGCACCTTGCAGGATCTAGCCTTTGCCTGTCAGCGTCCTGGGAATTTTTGCACTGTTTGCATTATTTACCCAGTTTCTGTGTTGTGGCACAATAGGTGGTGAACACGTGAACTAATTATAATTATCCCTGTGACTGCCTAAATTTAGAGCTATGTGGAAATTCTTAAGTTTGAGGCTACAAGGAAGTTTTTTTAAAACAATTGGCTTTCCCTATTTTGTTCCAGGGGGGTACATTAAACAGTTTTGGTTGTGTTTTATTTTTTCCTAATAAGATTAGATTAGTGTACTTGTTGCACCTCCTGCAGTCTGTAGTGAGTTTTCAGTACTCTTTTCCACTCATCACACGCAAAATCAGTGCTTGCTATATAAGATGGGCTTTCTGGAGATTAATAATTGTTACTTAACTTTGTTTAATATGCTACTTAACACCCTTTAAATCATGTTCCAAGGGCTGGAGTGTCTTAGGTGTGTCACAAGAATCCAAGGTGGTGGTTGTACTATAGTATACTTTTTTGAAGCATACAGTATGCTGTTGGCAAAGCACGTAGATAAGGAGCTCATTTGTGAAAGGTGTGACATTAAATTGCATTATAGTGTTGAACACTTTATTAATTTACCTGCTCTTGGGAATTAAAAGAAGGTGAATTCTCCTATTCAGTCATACAACCTACATAAGTTACTGCTGCTCCCAATCCCAGCCAAAGTTCTAGATCATATCATTTTGGAATGTGTTTTTACCACTGAACCATTATGTGATTAAAACGAAGTTCTGTATCTTCTTGTTACTTGACTCAAATTTTGAAACAGAGAAGTGTCTGATTCCAATTTTCATTAGTTTGCCACTGTAAGAAAAAGTCTCATTAAGCCAATTTTAAAATTGTTTCCAGCATAACATTAATTCTGGCACATTATAAATCCTTACTGCTGCTGGGAACTGTAATTCCATTCTGCTGCAAGAATGCCTGGTTTCTTAGTTCCTCAGCTTAGAAAATATAATTTACAAACAAAATGGCAGCAAAATGCGTAATATTGTTACTTTGTTAAATAAGCAAGGATTTGCTGACTTACTGCATCAAGGCTTGGAGCCTTTCTGTATTTTGGAAATGCAGTGAGTTTATTGTTTGATGGGGTTCTGTGATAACATCTGATGAGATCTGGCAACAGAAAGTTTTTGGAAAACACTATCAGAAGTCTTGCCTTTATGTAACTTTTAAACTACTACAGACTGAATGTATTTCAGAATATGGCCATATATTGCCAATTTAGTGACATGCAATTAGACTGCTTACTGATATTATAATTTGTTGCTTATCCACTCAGTACCAGTATTTGTACCTTCACAATTTAAAAAGCAACAAAAAGACATTCTTATTCAGACTTAGTTTGCTGGGTTTGCCCCAGGCTTTATTGCGTCCAAGAGCATGCAAAGGATCCCCATGCTATTACTATTACCTTTCATGGGTTAATTTTTTGTTATTTCTGTTTAATTTAGAGTTGTTCAGTTCTCTCTTGCTTTTGAGTAGCTTGTGTGGTAATGACTGCTTTCTCCTAAACACTGCTGTCAAGATGTGGTTGAGCTTGTTGAATTCTGGGATTTCCAGGCATTATACACTCAGAATTTAATATTCTGTGATGTGTGCACTGGGGCAATTAAACTGAATTAAAAATGTCTATGTTTCCCATATGTGTTATTCAGAAATAAGTTAACTTTTGGGTTTGTGTGCTGAACTTTACATTAACTAATGTAGAGCTCAGGATGCACCAGCTTCTGGAGTACATACCCACCTTTGGTACATTAGCAGTCTGGGGTGTGTTGACATCCACAGTCACAATGCATATTTTCTGGTGCTTAATATTCTCTTGACTGTTCTGCTAAATACTAACTTAATTTGTCCTCAGTATTCAATCTTTACATTTGCTTTTTATTTGACTTAGGCCATCTTTAAAAGCTGCTTGTAAAAGGGAGTATGTGATATCATAGCTTGAATTCAGCAGTTTAGTTACAAACTTGAGCCGTGTTAGGTAATTGTACAGTGACAATTTATCAGACACCTGGTGATCCCACATCATTCAACACCTGGCAATAAAATCAGTAAATGGTGGTGTGAAAATACACTTCAGCTAGAGAGTACATCAAAAAAAAGAGTTTAATCACAAACCCAGTCACAGGACTTCAAGCCATTACATTAAAGAACTTTGCTGCCCACATCTGTTGCAGCCAGTAAGCAATGGTGAACAGGGCACCGTGTTATTTCAGCAGTGGAATGATGGCATGTGTCAAAGCCCATTTTCAGTGCAGGAAGGCGGAGGAGGGACACATTCAGGGTCAGTTACCTGGCATGTTAAATAACGTCAGGGAGCAAGGTTGCAGTGGGAGGTGCTTCCCAGAAACTAGAAACTGGTGTTCTCTATCTGACAAGATGCGTCAACCAGAATACTGGAAGATGGTGGAACCTGGGGAAACCAGGGTGAACTGTGAGAAGTTAAATACATCATGAATGCAGAGAGCTGGATGAAAGAACAGGGTGATACTCTGGCTGTGATGTGTAACAGTCTCCCCAGGCACAGTGTAGGCAGTCCCTTGTAAAGCATCCTTAAACAAAACTGTTATCTTTGGATGCTGTGTTAAAAAAAAAATATATGAAAATCTACCAGACTATAAAACTCATCTTTGCAGGTTTTAATTATTTATTTTTTTTTAATACAGTATATTGTGGAGCTTGGAGTGTGGTTTGGTTTTGTTTTGCTTGATGCAGATAATTATTGACTAGTTTACAAGTGTGGTTTTCTATTATTTGGGTTATTTTTCACACCTACCCAGATTCCCACATAATTAGGAGCTGATTGTAACTGGTCTTGGAGAGAAAGGCAGATTGAACATCTTGCTGAGGTCCTATACAGCCTCATCTTGTATAGCTGAGCACTGAAAGAATACATATTTAGGAGGATGCAAAGGATTAGGAATCTGGTATCTTCAAGGCACTGACGGAAGAGCTAGACTTTTATTAAAATGGTACATGAACAAATAATTCTGGAAAAAAATTACTCTAACCCATAGAACACTGGATTATTGTCAGTGTTTCTGTAACTGCTTCAGTTGTTCACACACAGGCATCTAATGGCTCTTAAATTTAACTGCAGCATCAGAAGCACCTGCTCAAGGCTGATGGATATGACTTGGGACCTCTGGGAGGCTTGTGCCCTTTCAGAGCCACAGTGGAATACGAGGCAGGATATTTCAAACAATTGGGTGGTGGTGTGGGCTACTGAATTGAGCCCCTTGTGCCTGTACATTTTATCTCTGCTTGATGCCTGTGAATAAGGAGGCGATGAGCAATGAGAATAACTACATCAAAATAAAAACTATGGTTTTAAGCCATTTGTTACAGATATCATTAAACTTGAAAAAAGGCAAGCCTGTAGAGCTGTGTGGAAGCCAACACCTACTTCATCTGAGCAATGGCAGTCCTGTTATTTTACACCAGACAAAGACTGGAATCAGTCAGGCATTTCCATTGTAGGAAAAACCTTCCCTGTACACATTTCCATCATCTTTTTTCCTGCTGCTGTTTTTGTAGAGCACTGTCCAAGCATCCACATTATTGGCTAATCTTTGTGGCAGAAGGCATTTCTTAATTTGTCTATTTAAAAGTATTTGAGTCTGAATCTCACTAAAGTGAAAGTTCTTTTCATTTTGTTTGTGGTCCAGAGCTCATCAAAGTTCAGCGGCCATTGTTTTTAACAGAGCTTATGCCACACTCTCTACATCACTTCCATGAAAGATGAATCACCCATAGTTAAACTAGAAATAGGCATGAGAGAGTGAATTCTTGATACTTTTCACTTGAGAAGTTGGTTAATTACATTTGTTTTTTATGGAATAAGGTCAACAGAGATTGTTGCCTTCCCATAGAGTATTTGTATACTAAAGTACTGATTCCAAGAATTTTGTACCAGCCCGATATTGCCAGCTTCAAAGCTTCCTGGCAAATCTGAGTAGGTGCTGCTGCTGCTGCTTCACACTGCTCTAGAAAAATTCCTGTTGGACACCCATGGTCTCACCTTACAGGAACCACTGCTTGAGGAGTGATTCTGAATGAACCTCAGTAAGGGTTATTTTTTTTTCTTAGGTGATTAAGCATGATGCCTCTATTTCTTGAAAATGAGTAAAAATGTTCGGGGTTTGGTTGTTTTGGTATTTTTTATTTGGTTTGGGTTTGGAGTGTTTTTCTTGGGGGGTGTTCATATTTTGTTTTTTCCTTCTTGTGGAACAAAAGGCAATAAATTATTTCAGTGTTTTTGTCAAGGGAGAGGGATATACCACAAAATGCTGAATATCCATATGGACGTTCTGATCTCATGGAATGCTAGCATTATGTTCAGGAATGTCTATGAATTGTATTAAGGTGCACTTACTTTATTTTTACTGCTAGTTGTTACAGTCTAACTTAAATTTATGCTTTTATTACTTAGAGAGTACTGACACATAACAAAATCCAGATAAATTTTCTATCAAGTTTCCTCTTTGCTTGAGTGATAACTTAAAACTTTCCTGTGCCTTTTTTTTTGCCTGTGCTTTATGACTGAATTGACTTGGGCAGATCTGCAAAAACTAAAACTTCAGATTTCCTATCAGCTGCTTGTTGAGGACAGAGCATTGTGTCTGTTCAGACTAACATGCAATTTTCAATAGATATACTAATGACCAAGATTTTTCCTGAGCCTCTATTAGGTCAAGCAAGGAATAATTGTCTGAAGCAGAAATTTGAAGAACAACTTCTAAAATGCATACTGTACATTTTGCCATAGCCTTAGTGGAAAAAGTGGTGGGTTTTTTTTTTCTTCTCTCGGGATTCTTTAGTTTCTGGTTATATAAAAAATTTAGGTGAGTGTGTCTTTAGATGTCTGCTTTTTTGGTGTAAAATGCTTGTACATTACCACTTACATGTGCAGTGCATATCATCAAAATTACTACTGAAGTGAGAACTAAACTTGAACTAAAAACCTCCTGGGTTTTAGTAAACTGGGCTCAAATAACATGCATGTTGCTCTGGCAGGAGGACCATGACATCATGGAGGCTGATCTGGACAAAGATGAGGTTTTGCAGCCTCAACTGGGAGAGCTTACAGGAGAGAAGCTGCTAACAACTGAGTACTTGGGAGTAAGTACCACTCATCAGGATCTTGAAATAAATTATTTTGCTGGATTAATTGTTTAATTTCAATAATTTCATCACTTTCTAAAACAATTTCTTCAATCTGTTGCTGAAGGAGCTGGGTTCTACCTGCATAGCAGTCCAGATCTTTTTACACCTGCTGTTTAGATGAAGTAGAATAAGTTTGAGAAAGGTTCATAGGAGGTGGTAGGGCTGTGGCTTAATAATAAGCTAAAGACAGCCTTAGGGTTCTAGTGCTACATCAGTGACGCTGTGAGCACACAAAGCAAAGTGGTGAGAAAGTTAATAGTGGAACACTCTGCTGGTCTAAAATGATTCCGACAAAAAGTTGGGGAAAAAAAAGAAGTTGAAAAGTTAGCTGCTCCTGGAGGCGTTATGCCAGATCAAGTATTGTATGTTTTACCTCAAGCAGCAAAAAGCCATTAAGTAAAAAAAGCATAAAGTTTGCATGAATGCCATTTAGTATGCTGACTAATTTGAGTTGTTCAGAGGGCTGGAGCACTTCTCCTGAAGACAGGCTGAGAGAACTGAGGTTGTTCAGCCTGGAGAAGGCTCCAAGGGATACCTTAGAGCAGCTTCCAGTACCTAAAGGGGCTGAGAAGAAATCTGGAGAGGGACTTTTTTACATGGGCATGTGGGGATAGGACAAGGGAGAATGCCTTTCAACTGAAAGAGGGTTCATTTAGATTAGATATTAGGAAGAAACTCTTTACTGTGAGGGTGGTGAGACACTAGAAAACAAGTTGCCCTGAGCAGTTTTGGATGCCCCATGTCTGGCAGTGTTCAGTGCCAGGTTGGATGGGGTTTTGAGCAACCTGATCTAGTGGAGCAACCTGCCTGTGCAGGGTGGGTGGAACTAGATGATCTTTAAGGTCCCTTCCAACCAAAACCATTCTATGATGCTGTAACAAATGTGACTGTATGCCTTCCGGACCCCAGAATCCACAGGTCTGCCAATGCTGATGATGGAAATGTGACCCAAGATGAGATGTCATGGAAAGGCCTACAGTGATTCTGGGCAACACTTTATCTAGTGACATTAAAATGCAACTTAAGTTTCTGATTCAGTGCTCCTATAGAATTTTCTCTAAGGCTCCATTTACCTGTTTTTCAACTGCATTCTCTTCTTGGGCCTCCCCCCCTTCCCCTCTCATTTCTTTATTTTCTGTGTATCAGATAATGACTCATACTCCAAAAACCAAGAAGAAGCTGTTTCCTGGTGTCCATCAAAGTATAGATGAACCTCTCCAGAGACCTGTGACGCCTGGTTATCATAGAACTGTGTACTCACTGTAAGTCCAAACAAATGAGACCAAGTTGGATTCTTTTAAGCTATTAAAAAAAAAACAACAAACCAAAACAAAACAAACAAACAAAAAAAAAACAAACAACAAAAAAAAGCCTGATAAATACACAATCCGCTTTCCCTACCTAAAAGCTCATTGCCATTGTAATTCCCTAAAGATAATTTGAAAAAAAGAAAGGAGAGGAATAGTGTAAGGAGAGGAATAGTGTAAGGAGAGGAATAGTGTAAGGAGAGGAATAGTGTAAGGAGAGAAAGGTCCATAGGCAGAGGTCAATACTTAAAATAGTTAACTATTTTTTTTATGTTTACTGATCAGTTGTATTTAAAATTGCTTTATATCCTGTGTCTTCACAGTCCTTTCATCTTCTGATAATATATTCTACTGGTAAATTGCATGGAGTGTCTAAACTGCCTGTGATCTTCCACTTTATAAGCAGAAAGTATATGTCTCTGGGGAGAGTTGCTAGCCACCCATAAGATGACAGATTAAAAAGAAAATGGGAAGGCAAAAATCTTGTTATGTTGGATTTTCTGCTTGGGAGAAATGTTTCCCTTCAAGAGGGTGTGTGACACCTTGCTTTTGGTGTGATTTGGGTCAGAGATAGAAGGTTGGATTGAAAATGGAATAAAGAAATCTTACAGTATAAAGCCTTGAATATGCTCTGCCTTCTGTTACAACAAATGTAGCTTAATTTTTGAAATGAGGCTTCTCCTTTTCACTGTCCTGAATGAGGAAATAAAATACTAATGAGAGCTCAAATTTAAATTTATTTTTTACTTTCAGTTGCATACAGTTTTGGATTTGATCAAATCCAGGCAGCTACAGTGCAGGCAACAATCTCATTAAAAATGAGATTTTAATGTTTTGATTTCTGCAGACACTTAAGCTGAGAGCCTACATGCCACTCTAACCAAGTAGAGATAATAATACTCCAAAGTCATGGTATTGGTATAGCCAAGTACGTCAAAATGAATGGGTAACCTGAAATACAACATTGTAATGAAGTTGGAATGTAGAGGCATTTCTTAGAAGAATGTGTTCATCCTGAAGACTGTCCCATGTCATCTCCTCTGCCACTCCTTGCTTTCATGTTCATATTTTCTACTTCTTAAAATATATTTCTTCCTGATTTTAGTGTGGAAGATCTCTCTCTCTCTCTTTTTCTCTTTCTTTCTCTCTTTCTCTCTTTCTTTCTTTCAGAATATTTTTCTTCAGAAAAGAGCATTTGGCTATCCCAGGGTACATTTGGAGTTTTTACTTTGTGTCCTTCCTCACAGTGGTCAACTTTTGCACTGTTATAATGTCCACCACTCTTGCAAGCCTCTCCCAATATATTAAATGTGTGTCTGTTTTTGTGTAAGAAGAAAACAGCAACTAATTAATATAAGCTTATCTTAGTAGCACAGTGATTATCTAATCACTGCTAGTCCTCCAAAAGAACTGCAAGCCTTAAAAAAAAAAAGGCTAATACATGACTAAACATACAGTGCCACTTTACTGCAGGGTCAGCGTTACCACGTTTAAGGTCCCACTTTATCTGCCAGTATTTTGCCCATTGTGGGTTAGGAGACCTGAACCAATTTTGTGGAATCAGTTGTTAGGGTAGCCTTAGAACTATTTAGAAAGCATTTTTCAGGAGCAAATCTTAGTTACCATCAGAGTGTCTAACTATTACATTCCTGCTCTGTAAGTAAAGGGAAAAACAAGCTTGTGAAAATGAGTGACTCACATGTGGGAAGTCAAAAAATCAATAGCAAGCCTGGGGAAGTGGCTTTTATTTCCCGGTGCCACGTAGCGCACTGCAATTTATGCATCAGAAATAATCTCTAGAAGAGATTGTGTGCACCTCTACCACCACCATCTACCCAGGCAGTATGTTTACTTAATAGGATCCTGGGATACCAAGCGGTGCTAGTTCCGTATTTTGTCAAAAACTTGGATCTCCTTATGAACAAATGTGCAGTTCATGCCTCTGCAAGATGGCTTCAGGTCACTGCTGGACTGGCATGGTTTAACTCCAGCCAGCAGCTAAGTACCAAACAGCCACTCACTCATTCCCTGCAGTTCCTATACTGAGCATGAGGTTCTATGGTATGGAGTAGCCCTTTGGCTAGTTCAGGTCAGGAGTCCTGTATCAGCTCCCTCCCAGCTTCTCACATCCCACCTTGCTGGCAGAGCATGGGAAACTGAAAAGTCCTTGATTAGAGTAAGCCCTGCTCAGCAGCAACTAAAACATCAGTGTGTTACCAGCATTATTCTCAGAGTAAACCCAAACCCACAGCACTGTACCAGGTACTGGGAAGAAAATTAACTGTATCCCACTGAAACTAGGATAGTATCCACCCCTTACTCCGTACCCATTATACCCAGGTCCCACACATTCCAATACGCCACCACCTTTCCTGGTCTTTTGATACAGATACACAGATACTGTTCCCTTAGTCTATGGGCCATCCCTATAAAGTATCTGTTGAGTTCCTTTAGTCCATGAGTTGGGCTCCATCTTTCATAACAGTCTTTCAGGGCAGAAAGATGATGTTGGCTTCTTGCATGCTGAAGCCAATTCTGATTCCATTACTGCTACTCTGATCCAGTTTCATCAAAATGTATTCTTCACTAATTTGGGTGATTTTTACTGTAATACACCCTTGATACAGCAATTAAAATGGAGTTAGGTTCAGGCCCCGAATCCAGAGTGCTGCAAGGTGTCCGGTGCAGTGATGTGTATGTAGCCACCACAGAAGTAATGATATTCAGTGTTATATAGCAATTAACCTAATACAATTTAATTCATTGGCTAGTCTCATCCTGAAGTCAAGTCCCCTTGAGGTATACATCTGAATTCCCTATCCTCCTGCAGAATCGTACTGGTTCTGGTAGCTTTGTGCCTAAGAGATTTGTTAGTTTGATGGTATAAAGCAGTCTTTACAGATTGCTTCACTCTGCATGCTAGGGAGGAAAAATGTAAACAGCAGAGATCCAACATAGTGAAGATATGTGAAAATTAATTTCCTTCCTGCTCTGGCCTAATGGTAGAAGTAATATGACTGTTTGGGGCTCCCATGTTGTAAGGAATCGTGAGATACCACCCTGAATGAGAAGTTTGTACTTTATATCAAATTTGTGTGCAAGAATACTACAGTAAATAGATGAAGATATTCTTCAACTAAATTTTACAACAGAGAAGGACAAGCTTTGATTGGTTTTATGCTGTTCAAATTTTAGTGGGAATTCATTTGCTAAAATGAGGAAATGCTGTCGTAGAAAGCCATGCAAGAGGAGAACAATAAAACTGACTAAATCTCAGCTGCCTTAGTTTGAAAGCAGTATCTGAACTAAATGTATTTCATATTCTAAATAATTTAAGTGGCTTGTGTTTGTGTTGGATGAAATGGCATGAAAAATGACAGACTTTTGCCTCATATGCAGCTTGTCTACCCAGGGATAATCCAGGACAGTTGATCCGAATTATCTGAAGTTTTGGACTCAGCAGGACAGTTAAACTACATTGAAAAATTGTGTAAATGCTTGCATTCAGAATTGAAGTGAATAGAACTTGTTTAGAGTTCTTCTTGTGAGGCTTGATGTAACATATTGCATTTTAAAAACGTCGTGAAAGAAGAAACAGTTGATGGAGATACGATAACGTAGCTCTTTGAGTTGTTGGTTCATACCTCCAAAAGGAGGGGAGAAGAGGGGTAGGGTGAATATCTAGTGCTGAATAGAAGTATTCACACAGAAAATTAATGCAGAATAGCCACTGCACATGTAGCAGATATTCCATGCTAATTTTTCTATGGCTTCCCAGTGCAGACAAGGCTCTAGTTACTTCAAATGAGTTGTAATGAGATCCCAGTATAGCCAACCTGTTGCTGTATGGAGCTGAGGGAGCCAGGAAATACTGGAAAATTGCCTTTTTTTCTTTTTTTTTTTTTTCTCTCTCCTCTTTTTTTCTTTTTGTCCCTTTCTCTTTAAAGACTCCCTGGCTGAGCTCACTCAAGGGGGACTGAACTACTTAATATTCTGCAAGCTGTTTCCTTAGAAACTGATTTAGCTCTGAAATCATTAACTGCCTCGTTGGACTCTGTCCTTTCTAATTAGAAATATAATCTAGTGACCCTAACCTGATTTTGGACAGGGAGACTTTCTGTGTCCGTCAACTTATTTTCACTCACTTTTCACACCCCTCTTGCTGTGTTTTATTGCTTATTACTAAACAATCTTGACCTTGTTCAGTCCTTCCGCTACTTCAGTTTTTCATTGATCAGTCTCACTTGGGAAATGAACACTTCTATTTCTTATCTACTTTGTTTTAAATCTGTATTGTGTATTGCTCTGCAAAGCGAAATCCTTGTAATATTCAGGAGCAAATCTTAAATCGTTGAAAAAGCGGAGTCTTGAAGACCTCTCAGCCGCACTGCTACAGGCTTTTTCTTTTAAGTGTCCTGTTGCATTTTGGGTGTTCAGGCTGCAAGGAGTTACGGTTTCCTTTCCTTGACTCTTTTATTGCAGCAGAAAAAAGTGTTAATTTCAAATATGTTCCGCATCACCTGGTTTGGGGGAGCTGCAGTCATGCAGTTAAACTATGTCCTTAGTACTAGCTTGCAATATGAAATATAAAATAATGTCAATAATCTTCTATGTCATTGCAGACAATTAGAAAAATAAGAATTTACTCTCATGCAACTTTTTGTGCTGCAAGCATTCATCACCCTGTGTTCTCCTTTCTCCTCTAGGCCAGAAAATTATACCAGTTCTTATCATGATAGGGATGAGAAGCTTCAATCCCTGCCAAGTGATCATTCTTCCACTTGTGGGAGCACCTCCAGCATTTCTGACCTCTGCGTTTCCCCTTCATGTAAGGATATTCTGTGAATGCTGCTGTTAACTGTGGCTGGCTTTCTTGACTGGGACAGGCATTTGGGGCTTAGCTTATGTGTCGTAGATTTGTTGTTTTTTAAATACAGCCTTGGAACTGGCCTTCCATTTGTCAACCCTGAGACATTCTGCAAGACCTTAGGGCACACGGTTGGATTTTGGCTTGAGCTAAATAAGTGGCTACAGAAGGTAATGTGTGGTCAACAGAGACCAATAGTCTCACTTGCCCCACTCCATCTTGCTTCCTGCGGAAGTGCCAACTATCCTACCCAGGGCTTCCAATATGCAAAGTATACTGTATCTCCATGATGCCCTCTGCCTAGGGAAAGAGCTGCAGCCCAGAAACCATGCACTTCACAACAAGTAAAGCCCCTCACTTGATCAAATATACCCTTGTTTGGATCTAAATGAATCACTGTCTGCTGGCACCTGCAGGCTCTGTTGGCTAGACCTCTATATTAAAGTTGAAGGCAGCTGCAGTTATCTGCTTAGATTTGCAACTACATTCAAACCATTAAAGATCGTGGAGGATGGGAAGCCCTGTGCTGTATAGCTATGTTGTGGGTGATGCTGCTAAGCTTCTGTCCTTGCAACTTAAACTGAAATGAATACAAACTCAGCTGAACCTGAGAACTCAGAAATATGATAGAATTTACAAGGTTATAGCCTTCTGAAATACTTTATTTCTGAACTTCTAATATCCACAGGAGCATGGAACTTCAGATGTGGGAGTTTCAGCCTTCTTGCAGGGACTCATTAACATTTCCAATTAGGGATTTAAGGCAAAATGTTCTGCAGTCTTAGATAAAGGATCTTGCAGTATATCCGGTACAGAATTATTAATAAGTTCAGACAAAGCATGCCTTTACTTTGCTTGAAAAATATGCTTTGAAGCAGTAAAGGAATAGCATACTTTTCACTCTTTTATTTTTTTAAATTTCCTAGAGGAAATGAAAAGGATTCTGAGAAAAGTAACCAAGGTCTTACAGGCAGGAATTTGCTTGTATAATGCCTAGAGATGATAAATATAACATGCTGAATGAAAGTCGTATGATAGAAGCAGATGAACGTCTTGTTCAAGGTGGGCACTTGGTTTCTCACTGTTGTGTAGGAATGAGAGCTGCAGTCCTCTCCTCAAGCCCCCCTTTGCACAATAGCACCTCAAGTATAGCTGGGCCCATTTTACGGGGAGGTTAACTGGCCAGGGGCAGCAACTTGGTACAGGAGAGGTTGTAAACTAATCAAAAGCATGCTGACTTGACAGTTTTCCTATATAGAAGGCAGAGGGGAAAACAGCATGTTACCTGTTTTCAGTCATAATTATGTGCAGATAGGTACTAATCAGAGTACTAGATTATACTCTTCTTTTGTAGAAAAAAAAAGAAAAAAGAATATATATACAGCATATTGCAAGTTTATATTGCATTATACGTGTAAAAGACAAATAATTTGTGAGTGTGGGAGAGACAGTTCTTCCTAGCATTAGTCCAGGCTATAAGGCAACAGTGGGCTACTTGAAAGATTGCCATAGGCTTGTTTCGGGTTTTTGCAAGTAGCCAGTGAGCTATATGCTTGGTTTTATTACCTTTTGGGATTTAGAAATCAGGAGTAGGAGAAGAGAAAAGAGAGACTGCACTGCTGGATCCCTGGTTGTTCATGTCAGTGACAGTGCTTTCATTCTGTGTAATGATAATTGGAATGAATCTTTGGACATCCCCTGTTTTCCAAAAGGTGGTGGGGTTTGTAATTTTTAAATTGGAAAGGCTTTAATTTAAGACAACTGAAAATGAGCCCTTTCTCTTCTAGTGCCTTTCTAAGATATGGCAAGGTTCAGTACATAACAAAAAGGTGTAAAAATAATTGTACTGCATCAAGAGACTGTCATCATGCCCTTCCAAGCATATTTGCTGTGCAATAAATATGCAGTTTATTGAGTTCTGATCTTAGTCTGATGGTGATTATGCAGTACCAGGAACCTGCTCACTTCAGAATATGTGTTTTCCAGCACCACATGCATACTTTGGGATTCAGAGTTTCATGCAGTCACATCGTGAAATGAATAATAAGAGACCAAGACTTAAAAAAGCAGAATAAAAGCTTTGTGTGAATAGTTAATATCATCGAGGTAATATCTCAAGGAAGATAAATTTAGCCTGAAGAAACTTTGATCCGCTTTTGTTTTATAAAAATGAGAGCAGTTCTTAATGTCCTTCACAGCTGGATATATTCAGCTGTTCTTGAGTCAGTCTGATTTTGTCTGATTTTTATCACTTTGGTAAAGAATCAGTAATTCTGGCTCTTTCTGTTTTGTCTCCTGTGAGCAGAAAACTTGTGGACTAAAGATGAACTCTGGTCATCTTACTATACTTACTGTGCTGAATATCAGACAGAACACGCACTGAGCAGCCAAATGCCTGCCTGAAAGTGACCTGATTTGTATCCATATCAACATGTGAGACCAGATAGGATGTCAGCCTGTCCTGAGCATGGGAGGAATAGAGATAGGAATTTTCCCTAAACTTTTACTGAACTTGCACATCTTGGTAGCCTTTCGTCTCTCGGCAGACTGACTGTCCTTCCCTTCTCCATTAGTGCAAGGCAGAAAGTGAGGCATCTTGAACAAATGTAATAGAAGTCTGACAGAAGTGTAATAAATAAAATGAATAATAAATGTAAATAATAAAATGAAGTCCGACAGAAGTGTAAAACAATGGGTTTTGTTCACAGTGGCTGCCTATCCTGCTATGGATATGTACAGACAACTGCAAGTGGTTACATTCCTGTGGCTTTAATGAGATACTGGTCATTAGCTGATATACTTTAACTGGTGGTCTGCATGATACTAGCCTATTGTGAATGCTTTGAAAATGATCCAAATGTGTTTTACTTTCCGACTGCAAAGGGTTGGAAATATGCACACTTGCAGTTGGCTTGGCTCAGCTCATGAGCTATAATGCACTCTGCCATGCTAATGCAGTAGCCTGCTTTATCTCAAGGTTTCCTTCATTCAGCAGGAACTGTGATTTGATTGTGTTTTTAGTAAAATTGTAAAGAGACAGCTCCTCACTGAACTGTTTTTTTGTTGTGTTTTTTTTTTTGTTTTATTTTGATTTGTTGTTTTTGTTGTTTTTGGTTTTTTTTAATAGCAGTTGAAGAAATTAAGTCATCTAGAGAATTCTCTTCAGGCCATAGACTGGACCGAAGCATCTCAGCTAGTGACAATATCTTGTCTTCTGGATCTACTGACTTCACCCAGGATGAAGTAAACGGGCAGTCACATAGGTATGATTTATCCAGAGGAGTATCTAAAAGTGCAAGAGGAGTCTGAGAGGACTTACCGCTAATTCCTTGCTGCTGTAAAGACAATCTGTTAAGTCATTTCATGTATGATGTAGTCTGGTCTGAGACAGCTGTGACGGTGCTTGCCAAACAAAATACCCTTAATTGTGCCAGAGGCAGCTGTTCAATTCCTAAGCATCTGATCCAGAATGGGAGTAATTTCAAGCAAGACATTATTAATGAACTTCACATGTATGCAAAATGCAGTGTTCTGCAAATAAAACTTCCTGATTGCTTTCTACTCGACTCTAACCCATGAAAAATCATTTATTAGTAAAGAAATAGGTAGGATTGTGGGAACAAGGCAGGAACTAACTTGCAGGAGGAAGAAAAATTAAGCATTTAAGTGGATTAAGGGGGTTTAAACATGCTGTCTAACTAGCATGCCTGACCAGAATCCCCAGTTTATCCTCTAGACAGGTATAGCAGGGGTGCAATATTATGAGTTCTCTCGGCAATGGGTTTCAACTCTTCTGTGAAACAATTTCTGTCAAAAGAAGATGAAAGATGCTTCCTCTCCTCCTTTTCATACCTTGACCCCTCTGTGAAGCCTTTGTCATATGTAGGACTGTGATGTTATATCTTGGATGGGAACTTGGAATTCATTAGCTATTGGCCCAAGGTTTACCAAACTTTTTCAGGGCTTGCATGTATCCTTCAGACATTAACAGCTTTTTCCTATAGCTAATTTGATTGGGCCAAGTTTTAAACAGTGAGTGTAGAGAAATTATAAAAGCGAGTACATTCTAGAAGTAAAACACAGAATGGGTGGAGATGTGTTTAAGGAAGGGTTTTACCAGTTCTTTATGGATCTAATTTTTCAAAGTGCTTAGCTATTTGTGTTTAGCACTTCTGGAAATTGCACTCTCTGCTTAGAGTTATGTTTCCTTCTGGTGCACAGATGCCTGTGTGTGGTTTGGGGGTGTTTTGTTTTTTGGGGATTGGTGTGGGTTTGGTTGGTTTTTGGTTGTGTGTTGGTTTTTTGGTTGGTTGGTTGGTTTGGTTTGGGGTTTTGGGGGGCATTTTTTGTTTGTTTTTGTTTTATCCCCAGTTGTGCTGTTTCCATGGTGATATCTGAGCTCTTATATATTGTCAACAAATTATCACTGGTTAGCAGCTGAAACGCCTAGTAGTCATGGCCCCATCCCAGCATTACTGGTTTTGTTTCTGTTGCCTGTCCTAACAGAAGCCAAGCACATACTACAAATGAGAATTTTATGGCCAAATTGCTTGCTTTGTGATAGAGAGATTATTTTTCAGGCCTTGGCTTGCAAGAGGCAAGCCAAATTGGTAACAACTTTCCCCCACCTTGGTGAGAGGCTTTGCTTCTATACAGTCATAATCTATTATTAAAAATATGTCTTCCATAATTTTTAATTTTTCTTCATGAATGTATGTCTAAATCTCACTAATAAATGGCTCTCTAACTGAAGAAACAGGTGCAGTATCCTGCAAGAGGAGACAGTGTCTTTTTATTGCGTGTTTTCTTAGCATGCATACAGTAATTTGTATTTACAAATGCAGCCTCGAGTTACGGATATGGGAATACAGCCATTCACAGTCCAAGCACAGGGGTTCCTGTGTCAAGGTCTTTTGTTAATGTGTTGGTGTTGCAATAGCTGGACGTGCCTTTTCATTCTTTCATTCATGGAAGCATATTTTAATTTGTTTGCAAAACAAACAGAGCAAATATATCACAGCTTTGGTCATAGTTTTGACCGCTGTAAGAGATGTGTCCTTCCTACTAGGCAAATACCAAGGACCTTCCTAGAAGAGGTATGTATGAGAAAAAGAGGGATGAATTATGGTCACTGTTATATCCCCTCTTCCTTAGCAGTATAGACTGGGAGTTTAACTGCACAGAGATCAGTGAAATTACACTGTCACTGAGAGAAGAATGAGACCCTAGTAGTGGCATGTTTATTGTAGTTCTTTCCACAGGCACAAATGGTTGTTATAGCTGATATATGTCAGACTGGCAGCTGCCCCTGAATTGCTATTCTCTGCTGCATTTTAATAATAGAATATAAATCTGTTCTGCTTTTTAGCTAATCAAGGCCAAATTTGTAATAGACTTGAGTTTACAATTGTGGCTGGCTGAAAAAGCCCGTATCTTTTTATTTTGACATAAAGGGCTTAAACCCTACAAGGCTTTCTTAGGTCTCTAATGGTCTTGGTTTTCTGATAATCTGGTAAAAATCACCCAAAGTCCAAATGTATTTCTATTGGAGAAAATGGTCTAGTCATCTTTGTATGTTCGAGTCCTGTCATGTCTCCCAGTTGAATACTCCCTGTGTCAGTCTGTCATGCACTTTTTACACAGTTATGTCTGGTTTTGCAAGTGAACAGTTTTCTTTCTTCTCAATGCAGATGTAGGTTTCTGTGTGAGTTTGTTGCAGGTTGGGGTTTTTTTGTTTGGTTGGTTGTTTTGGGGTTTTTTTTTAGTTTGCTTGAGCACTTGTTCTCAAATTACCACACCTTGTTGTAAATGACTACTAAATACTGTGGAGCATTTTCCCCCAGTTAGATTCTGCTGCTCCTTTCTTCGTCTCATCAATTTCTAAAGGATGGCAAATAGCAGTTTTCTGTGTTATTCTGAGGATTAGTTCTTTTCTGTTGATCTCGGCCTGTTTATTGGTGTAATAAAAGATAAGGTGGTTCTGTGGCACCTGGGCACATCGAGACCAAGATCTGCTCTGCACCCTGCTAGAAAAGCAGCAGTTTTGTTTTGCTCTGGGGTTTGGGTTTTGGTGGTGTTGGTTTTTGGTTTTTTTTTTAATTTTATAGTGTTTGCTACCAGCTTATTTTATATAATCCTTTCCTGAAGATTTTGCAAAGATGTGAGCCATCTGTGTGACCACTGTGTCACTCTTTGGTATAGTGACTACTCTTTGGTATAGTGACTCTGGTTGTGTTACTTTGTGCCTGGAGTGCTTACAGTCCATCCACCCAGGTTACTGCAGTGGAACTCTGTGAAGATTACTGATGGCTATAAAAACACTTCTTAGTATATGGGAATACAGATCCAGACCTTTGTTACTTATTGCTGAATAAGAGTGAAAGAAAGCTCATTTATCCCTGAAAAACTCTGGTGGTGAAGCTGTTGGTTCTTCCTTTTGTGTCTGTGTTAGCATATTATAGTATGTATATGATTACCATGACAAGCAAAAGTGAATTGAAAACCCAGCTCTTGAACTAAAGTGAATAAAATTACCAAAAAAAGCAATAACAATGAGACTGGTTTATGGTGAGATATTTAAATATGTCTGTGGCCCAGGGCTTGGGGTTTTATCTAGCCGATCTTAGGTTTTTGGTTTTGTTTTGCTGGTACCTCCTCCTTCGAAATGAGACAAATTTAATACTTGTAATACTCAGAGACAGGCCGAGGGCTGCTGAGATGGCTCTTGGCAGACATGCCAGTTAGCATGTCTCTGTCCTTAATAGTTAGCTTGTACAAATGTAAAATAAGACAATTCATTTCATTTAAAATACAAAAGGAACACTTGCTCAGATCTCTCTGCAAGGTGAAGCAGGGGTATGGAAGAGCTAATCAGCACCGACTAAGCAGCATTCCCAGGGGAGGAGGCAAGATTAAATGTCTTGAAAATCCTCCTAATCACCCTTTCTGATAGTCACAAAGGGTTCTTTTGATGGTGCTAAATAACACGGGGACTTTCCATTTTAATCTCATCTTTAGATGGCACTTTTTTCGATCTCCTGCCTTTGGCTCTTCTATTTTCTATTTAAATATGGTGAGCTTTTTTTCACGTAGCTATTATTTCAGTTTAACCTTGTCTCCTTTTGAGGGAAAATTGACTCACTAGAGCAAACATGAGTATAGACTCTGAATTACATTAGAGACTTGCTGTTTCCTCATAGCCTCAATTTTTGTACCTGGGGAAGAATTACTGGTGCTGGGGGCAGGGAAGGACCACGTATCTTCACACAGTCATGGACTACATTTTAAAGAATGGTATTCTTGCTGCACAAGCAGACTGCGGAATAGCAGCAGCTGTTTTATGTTCTCAGTGTGAACAAGGAACCTGTGTGATTAGGGAATTTATTTCATAAATGCCATCACAGCTTTTTGCTCTTTTGACAAAGCCTTCAGGGTGTTCTACAAATCTTACCACAGCTGGGAGCCAGGGAGGCTGTCTGTCTCTGCCAAGATTGTGACCTATACCTGGGAGAAATAATAGTGCCATAAAAGGATGCATTCCTGTGCTGTAGCATACCTGTTTGCGCCTCAGATTGAGTCTCTGTGTGTGATAAATACAATGGAAAGCAAGCTAAAGATCTATTACCTATTTGCAAGGGACTTAACTGAACCTGTTTAATCCTGTTGTCCAAAGAACCATGTTTGAGTAGGATAGACAGGTAGATAGAGCCAAGTTTAGAAGCAACTCGGTGAATACATGCCCCAGGGCAGTACCTGTAGTGCCACTGTTCCTTTCCATTTGCAGTCTCTGAATTTTGCACAGTCTGTCAGGCTGTCACAGCATGTACTGCAGGTTTCACTTGGTTGCAGACTTATTATACATACATAATTCCCCATGCATTGCTAACCCTTTCCATCTCCTCCTACAGTGAGTTTCCCTCAGCCTACACCAGCAAACCTAAGATCCCTCGCAGTCCCGAAGTGCAGAGTGCCAGCCCTAGAAAGGGAAAGGTGCCAGCTATTGCTCCCCAGTTCTCTCAGTCTGGACCTCAACACACAAGCCGTCCCAGCTCCTCAGGATCATCCACAAAGAGCAGACAGAGTAAGTGGAAAAAGTCATCATTCTGTGTGTCAGACCTTGGGGTGGGAATGGAGGGAGCACTGTAGTAGTTCTCCAGGAATGAAGTTGTATGCTACAAATGTGCCAGGAGTATATGACATTGTACTTGTCATCTGCAGGATATACAACCATGTAATTATATCCTGCTGAACACTGCTCCTATTTCCAGGCTGTTGTGTGAGCAGTTAAAGAGACATGCTTTTTCCTGTATCTGGGTGGACAAAAGTGGCCCAAATTCTATGCTTCTACGATTCTGTGAATTCTCAGAAGTTTGGGGGGAAGCTTCTAGTCTCAGACTTCCTCTAGGTTTCATTAGACCTTTTCCTTATCTTTAGACACTTTTACTCCATTCTTGTAAAGTGTTTAATGTTCTTTAGTTGGGATCCCTGGGTGTGTCTGCACTGCAACTGAATGTAGACCAGATGTCAGGCAGTTCAGAAGACAGGCGCAGGGCAGCCTAGTAAGGAGACAGCCAAAACTTGGTGTGCTGCCTGTGACAGTCATCATTCTGCTGGAGATTCGTATTTAAGAACCACATGGATGTCTCATTGCCTGAAGAGGTTTAAGCAGTACTAGTTTCCAGTGGGCTCAGAAGAGGCCTGTAACTTGAGGTCGGAGGGAAAGGATGGACACTTGCTTTAAGCCAGCCAACACCAGCCCAAGAAAGCAGAAATGTTATCTCAGATGCTCTCACAACAGTAAACGTGTATGGTATATAAGCTGGAGGGGAGGTTTGCAAGAAGAGAGAAGAAAGATGTGTTCTTGAGTAATTAGCATGATTTTTTCCCTGGAGTGTGGGTAGGACTAGCTGGATTCATCAATTAAAATGGCAGGAGCTATGTGCTTTATATTCTCATTCCAAATGTATTTGAAGAGGTTTAGTGATGATTATTTGATCACAATGCAACATCAGCTCTATTCTTTAGATGCAACTTATCTTTAAACAATTCACAAACACATGGTAACTCATAGTACCTTACAAACCTTTGCAAGAAATTTGAGGTGTGTGTATATCCTTAGCACCTCATTACAGGTAGGGAAAATGAAACACAGAGAATTGAAATAACCTAGTAAATGAGCAATAGAACTGGAAACAGCTTCCTAAGTCCTCTGTGTTGTTCACTGATTGTTATTCCACACAGTTGCATGTGCAGGGAGATGGGGTGATTTACATTCAGGGAGTACAGGTGAGGCAATGGTAGGGACTGTCCTTGGTGGTGAAGGGAGGTTTTGACCTAAAGGGTACTTCCTTGAGCAGTCCTATGCTCAGGTAATATTGCCAGCTGTTTTGGATTTACTTATGCTGCATATGCCGTGTGCTTTACCTCTGACATTTCTGTTTCCTGTGATAGCAGCACTATTCTACCCTGATTGAATGTGGTGTCCCTGCTTCCTCTTTCAGTTCAATTACAAAAGCACTGGCCAATTGAAAAGGAGAAACTCTGCTGAAGAAGGAAAAAGCGTAGTGTGTGTGTGCGTGCATAAATACTCCTCCGCATGGTCTGGTTTCTCCAGGACAGCTTAACGCTCCTGGGTGCCGATGTCCTGTGAAAGATGCAACATACATATGTTGCTCTCAGAGGGCTCTGGAGAAAGTTCCTTTTCCAGTGGCACAGTGTTTACTGTGTTTTATCTTGAAATGGCATCAAAGCAGAGCATGATCAGAATTGTATATCAGTTGGGTTTCTGTGCTAATTCAGTATGTAAGTCCAGACTCTCTGGCTCTTCTGACTTTTACTGGGTAGGATTTGTCCTACAACACATCTCTTAGCTGTATCTGTGCATCCTAAAGCTGAATGTATAACGGGCATCACATCATACTATGTGTCCATTTAGCTTTTCTCCTGAGTTTCCTATTGGGGTTCCAGGTAATTGTTTACTATCTGCCCACAGGTGCCATGAGACAGACTTAGTGTCAGCAACTGAATGTTAAACTCTTATCTTCCTGCTAAAATAGCAAAGAAATTATTTTGCAAAACAAGTCATCTTCCATTCGCGCTGTGTATGTGTCCTGCATTGCTCTCTGCTGTCACAGAGCACCTGTTAGTTACTGTACACCTTGTGCAGGGCTTCACAGGCTTTTTATGACTGGGGAAAGTGAGAGGAAGGTGATCAGGACCAGATTTCGAAGGACTAAAAAGGGCTTTAAACGCTTGAGGTTCTCAAAGGTAATTCGGAGCTGTTACTTAAGATGAAGGGAAGGCATCTGAAGCAGGTGAGCCCCTGATGTTTCCCTAGTAAAGCTCTGTGCAACTGTTCCTTTAATTTCCTAGCTGACTCATCTGTAAGTCAAAATTGTATCTGATGCATAGATATCAGCAATCAGTAGATTTCAGCAGTTGATGCCTCCCGTTTGCCTGCTGCATAGGTATGTAGGTTTTTACATATGAAGAGATTCTGTCCTAGTGGAAGCTTGTCTTTAGTTTGTGGATTTCTTGGTATTTCTCCAGAAATACAAGTTTTTATAGTTGATAGACATGATGAGAAAAGGATTAGTTCTGATTGTACTTACTTGATGTGCTCGCTTACCTTAGAGACACTTGTTTAGCTTGCTTTTAATATTTATCATGGGTGTATTTTCTGGAAATAAGTTGTTCTTACATAAACCCAGCTGGACTGTTCCTCTTGGCACTTGGAGTGTGTGGAATGCCTGAGGAATGCAGAAGAAGCACAGGTACAAGTGGAGCTACAGTCCTGAGGCAAGATTCCTGCCTGAGATGTAGCCTGCTGCTGTTAGCTGAGCTCTGAAGTTGTACATTAAAGCAAAAGCAAGCTCCTCCAAATAAAATCAGCCATGCTGGGGTTTTCTGCGGATTCTACTTCTAGCTGATGCAGGAGTGACACTGTCAGCAAGGCTAGAACATTTAGACTTTTTCAGCTGTGCTTATGTGCCCCATGTGGACATAGTTGAATGGTTTAATCTACCCTGTTCCTCACTCTGCATCTGTTCCAAGCAACTCTGTGTGGGCATGCTGAAGCTGTTCGCAGTGTGCCAAGCTCTGTCTAGGGCACAGTGGAGCCCGAGTAGTACAAAAATCTCTACCAGAAGAATGAGGAATGGTTTTTATCAGATGTGTCACTAGGCCCTGGTAACCCCCTGTTCCTTCACGAGTTCTTTCAGTGTCCCCTGCCAAGTGGTTGCCATAAATACATTCTGCATTTTTTAAGTTGCAACATCAGTGGTTAAGGTGCCTTTCTATATATTCTTTGTGGTGTTTGTGTCACTGTACAGGTTGTATAAGTGTTGCCCTCAGGCAGCTCATGTGTTGTAATAAATCCTGCTTTCAGCTGACAGATCCTTTCTTGCTGTTTTTCTGCAGGCAGCCAGTCCTACAGGAAGTGAGAACAGTTCCTTTCCTCAAGAATCACCTGTCACATTGTTGAAGGACAGAGCCAGCTTCCTGTAATGAGCTTTACTGGAGACCTACTGAGAAGAGGGTGAGGTTATTGACATTGCATGGCGTATGCCTTGCACAGTGATTCAGGGATTATCTGATGGGATGCATCTGTTGTCATCTCTAAACCTGGCTAAGACACAGGCCTTGTTATTACAGTTCAAGGTCTTGGCAGCAGCCTAGGATTGATGCGGAAGATGCATATAGTCCCGATATCTCCGATAGTTTACTCTAAACTGACATTGCCACCTTGAGAAGAAACTCTTGCTCTCTGCCTACTGTGTCAGAGTAAATGGCCTTTGGAGACAGGATGTAATGCTCAGCAGAGGAGACTGACCAAGCAACTGTCTTTCTTTATATACTGCTCACTGAATTTATTATGCCTTTGTGAATTAGTTGGGAGATACCTGTGTTCAAAGGATCTGAACTAGGAGAGAAAATGTACGTCATGTGTGCAGAGCCTCACTGCCTGGAGCTGTCTTGTGTGGAGCGAGTTCTGTGTTTGGCTACCAGAGACTGGAGAGAAAGTATTTCATCAACTTCTGATTGACCTGTGGCAGTTGAAAAAACCTGTGCCAGTGCCCAAGGCCGCATCCGTGCGCATCACCACGATCAGCAGCTTTATCTGCAGCAATCACTCCTTCTATTTCTTCCGGTTTTTTTCTTAATTCTACTGTTAAACTTTTGTGGAATGAATAATCCTTTTTTTTTTTTTTTCCCCACTGGAATGAAGAACTTTGTTTCTTCATTCAAAGAAACCATGAGAATGTGAACACATCAGAAGTAACTTTCTCTTTACACATGGCTATGGACAATCTTCTTTGGTCTCTGTTGCCTTTTTTATGTTCTTCACTTCTGAGTGATAACTGGTTATGACTTCATGGAATTTGTGCTAGTCTTCAGTGAATACGAAGTGCTGGACAGGCAAGAAAGAACAGAAATTCCTCCACTAAATAATAATAAATAAAAAAAAAAGAGCAGTTAGTTCCACCAGTGAATGACAAAGCTAGTGCTGTTTGTTATTCTTTCTCTCAAAAGTAACAGTGACCAGGAAACACTAAATTCTTCACTGGGGGTTGGCTTTTCAGTAACATCCCCTCATGTGACACAGCTGTTAGGACAACAGCAACAACTTTCCAGAACTGTGGTTTGCCTTGGAACATGGCTGCTGCTGAGGCAGACATGCACCTAACGCAGGCAGTGTATTTGCCGTTGGCAGACTTCAAAAGCAAATGCTTTAACACGTACAAAAAGGGAGAAGGTAAGGCTTTTGTTTTGGAGTTTCACCTTGAGAAACAAACAAGTGGACGCAGCCTAAAAGGTGTAGCAACTCTGGTAGTGGTGCTACCTTCCCCTAGGGTAAAGATATGTAAAACCACCAACCATTTCCATAGCACCAGAAGAAAGCTTTATGCTTCTGATGAGACCTTGCATTGTGCCTCTTGGTGTGTGGTGGCAACTGAAGAGCCAAGGCCATTTCCTTGTGTGATGTGGTTGCCATGAGACCCACCAAGGTCACTGACGCTGTGTCAGGTGTTTGCAGAAAGGGCTTCCATGTGCAAGTTCAGGTAACCCCTATGGATAATAGACTTGAAACTGAAATCAGGGTATTCTCTAGAAGTCACCTCCCAGTTTAAAATCTAGTCTTATTCATGTGGTGGGGCCAATTTACTGCTCAGTCACTTTAGGGTCCTAAAACAAAGCAGGCAATGCTGCTTTAACCCCTGAACTACAAAGTGATTATAGACACTTGATAGCCCCCACTGCATGGATCTCCATGCAGGACAAAGAAATCACAGAAAATCTCTGACCTGTGCTTCAATTCATCCACTTCCTCTCAGAGTTGATAAACACAATAATGGAAAAAGGGTTCACAAAAGGGCAGTAATGGAAAGCAGCCATTAAAACTCACCTGGTAGTTTTCCAGTGTAGGCAGCTTTTCTCTTTCCTTTGAAATGCTGTCTTTTTTCTAACACTGTAATAGCAGTGGTCAGGTTGTTAACACTGATGTGCTAAGCACATTCATTTGCGTGCGCAGATAAACACACAATGCTCCAGTAGTTGAGTTTTATTTATTTTAGAGCAATGCTGAATTTCATGTTGGAGCAAATGTGATTCTCTGAGATGCAGAGCAGCAGCTCTTGAAAAGTGTTGATTACAGACTAATTTTCTTTATTTGGAAGGACACAACACCAAACCTCACTGGCTTTACCATTAGTTGACATCTAAATCACATCATTCCTTCTGAGTCAGCTGAAGGTGGTTGGTCGGTATGGCTACAACTGTTCCAGCAGATACAGGTTCATGAAAAATAAAATGCATCTTGTAGAACTGGACTGAAAAGAGCAAGCTGAAGTTTATGTATTTGTGTGTTTGTTTCTTACTCAGACCTGTTGCAACGCAGAACTTTATATATACATTTTTCCATATTCTAATCCTAGATGTTTAGGAGTGTGAGTATAGGGTTTGAAACAGTAATGCTTGAGAAACTTCGTTTTCCAAATACAGAGAAGAACTATGGATATGCTTAGAAATAAATTCTCAGCTGAGCAGTAATTTGAGAGGCCAGCAAAGTAATGTGTCCTCCTTTTCTCTGTCTTGTTCACAAAAAGCCCCTGTGATGCCAGCTGGAAGGTTTTGAAGCTAATGAAAAATGTTGATTCTGCCTTTGCTAGTAGGACTCCAGTATTCGGGGTTGAAAGGTCCTGGGATGGAGGTCAGTAACACATACATAGCAAATTCTGCACCTAACTCCTAGAAGGTGTTAGGGTTTTTTTTGTATATGCCATGTAGAGGCTGCTGCTAGATGTACCACCGCCATAGTAAATTCATAATGGGAGCAGTGGAAATTGCCTGCCCGAATGAGAGGGGAATGATTGTGCTTAGAGTGGCTGTGATTTTGTTTACAATGAGCAAATACAGTTATTGCATACGACACAGATCAGCCAGGGAAGTTTTTCTGAGACCAAAGTGCTGTGTGGTGCATATAACTTCTCTGTGTTCAGTGTAATTTTGTTTATACAGTGTTGTATGAGATACAAAATGCATAAATTGATTTCATTTTGCATGGAGGGCTCATTCTGTACAAGTGTTTTAAAATTGTCTGGCAATGACTTAGTGAAAATGCCACTAAAGGGATTTTCTTTTTCCTCTTTTTGCTAGGTTAGTTTGGGGTTTCCTGAACTTTTAGGGTGTGCATTTGTTTACATTTTGCTCTGATTTATTGTAAGGAAATTCTGTCCCCAACAGTTTTGTCTCCACCTGAGTTGAAAACACAGCTCCTTTCTGTTCAGCCTAGCCTGTCTCTACAGAGGTAGCATGTTTACTCAGTGTTGCAAAGCAAGCATGAACCACTCATTGTTTGTGATCTCTCACAAGGAGAGCCCGGGCAAGTGAGATGCCACCAGTGACACTGATTTGGTGTCAGAAGTATGTGTTGGAGGATTTAAGTGTCTAGGGAAGACAAGCAATGAAATGCTCTGGAGGAAAAACATTTCTGTGATGTGGAGGGACAGTGGTTCCTTGGTTTGGCTTTGAGTTGTTTCCTTTAAACAAAGTTCCAGTAGTCTTTATAAATCATGGTGGAGGTTGCAGTGTAGAGACAAAAAGTGATGCACTACATTCATGTACATCTTTGAGTATTGGTAGCAGAAAAGCAAACAGGCTACCTTCATCCCAGGTAATACCTACATCCAGACTTACCTTTTAGCTTTGGGCTTGAATTAATCTTTGAGCCACAGCTTCCTGGCAGTTTGGACCACCTCAGACTTGCTGGCAGTCAGTCTCAGTAATGGAACAAGCCCTTTCCCAAGAGAGGAAATGTTGGAAAGCTGGGAGCTGCATCTTGCTCAGTAAGTGTAATCTAACCGAGGAGCAGGTGAGTCCTGTGGGACCACAGAGCACAAGTAGGTGCATGGGCATGGCTGCCATAGAGGATGTAGAGGCAGCCTTACAAAGCTCCACTGGGGCAACTAAGTATCAAAATACCTCTGTGACTAAGCCATGTGGGCTTCTCCAGGCTATGCTGCACTTCCTAACCTCTGCTATTGATATGAACTATAAAAGAAGTGGGACTTTGGATAATTTATTGCTGGGTAAGAAACAGCAAGATGTTTCAAGTCAAACAAAACAGTCTTAAGACCAGACTGTTCTGGCCAAGCTGCATGGGAATCTGCTGCTAATAGATTTTAAAAAGAAGCCAGCTTCTGGGTGCAGAACATAGAACATTGTCCTCCTACGTTATCAAACCAGTAATTATTCTAGCCTGGCACCTTGTTAGTGATTGGGATCTGATGTTTCAAAGCAAGTTTCTACCCAACTCCAAGCTGCTTTATACGCTGCAGTGGGAGGGCATTGTATTCGGTTACAGGACCATGATCCAAATTTCCACTCCCTAAGGATCTGGTGCTCTCCACACAACAGGCTGAATGGCACACCCTATGGCATCTAACAGCTTTCTAGAGCATGGCCTTTTATTTCAAGTTCTTTCTGCAGTGCTTGGCATGTGGTCTGTTTCCAAGAAACTAAGGTAGTAATTTATTGCAGTGAAAGTGAAAACACTTCACACGAACAGTAGGAAACGCAGGTGACAGCTTTAAGTTTGTTTTGTGCTTATATTCTTCAAATATGGGAAATGCTGCTCTGATATGGTTTGAAGTCCATGGATTTTGGGCGCGTCAGTTATTCTGTTCACTCTGAATGTGAGTAACCGAGCACTGCATTTAATTTAAGGAACGGTTTCCAGTATGCTTTGCTGGTTTTCATCTTGAGATTCTTGAAGGTGTTACTTCATTTTATTTGCTTTTTCTTTTAATGATGTTGAGAACTAATTCTGCTGAGTAAAAGAATAAACAGGACAAATAAAACTCGGTGTATACCTTTAACATCAAGGTTTGTTCTGCAGATGTTTAACATACCCTATATATTAAGCTGCAGTGCACAGCTATGAATGCTGAGGCCATCTGAGAATCAGACCACCTACTAGGGGATTTTAGGAGGTGAGGACCTCCCTCTACTGATCTCAAGGGAAAAAATCTGGCCTTTGTAGGTCCAGATTTCATTACAAATGCATAGTCGATCTCCTCTGAAGAGTGAGAAAGTTGAGCTAGCGTGAGGATGGGATGTAAGTGCTGGAAATAGCAGCTCTGTGCCAAGTGATACAGTTCCTCATTTGGTCTGCCATGTGCCGGTCTGACTGCCCTAGCTGTTGTCTGGATCCGGTTGACTGTTGGCAGAGGTTGAATGCTTCCTGAGAACAAATCACTTTATTGTTCATGTTTGCTCATGCACTGCCTTTTGGGAGCATGGTTCGTGTTGGTAGCAAGAAGCAGGGCCATCAACACCATGTGAATTGTTTGTCAAGCCATGTGTCTCACTGAAAGTTTTGCCCTTTTCTCCAACTGCTTTCCTCTGGATTGAATTTGCAGTGTCCTAATGGACTAGCTCCTACTAAGCAGCTGACTTGTTTATTGGTTTTGTTGTTGTTAACTCGGTAGGTTGTGGCCTACCATGATTTTCCACAAAACTGGCTCCTTTCTTTTTTCCTCTTTTTCCGAGTGAGCAGCTGAGAACTGACCTGAGGCAGCTCTAGGATTTGAGGAAAACAGTTGCTTTGATTAAGCCCTCTCCATCCTCAAGCCCTGGATGAAAAGTGGGTGTTTGAAACGGCCAGAATTTCCACTAACTGTACTGAAAGCTCCATGCCAAGGAGCTCCTATTCATGAGCCACCACCTAGGGAGAGGTCCATTGGCAAACCACAGCAGCAGTTCTCAAAGAGTCACATCACTCCATACCCCAGCAATACTGGCTACAGCAGCCATTGCTGTCCTGTCTCTGCACAGATCCAGGGACTGGGGTTGTCCAGAGCGACTACACCAGTGTAGCCATGCTGTTACTGGGGAAAATCATGGATCGTGAGCCAGCACAACTGGTCCCATGGCTCATAGTCATCCTCAGTGCCTACGTGACATGAAGACATGAGCAGCTTAGCCCATAACTAAGGTTTTTAGGCCCTACCGTGGTACACAGTAACAGCAAGAAGAATTTGGATTGCTTCTCCCAAAGCTTAAAAATTGGTCAGTTTGAGTTCCAGTCATATGTACGTGGAGCTGACCTGAAGTTTAGTGTCATCTTCTCACTCAGATTCAGGACCTGACCATTGCTGAGCATAGCTCCCCATTTATGCAGGATGGGAGAGAAAGAATTTACTTTTGATTCATTTTCCTCATGGATGAGAAACTTTAAGTAGCTACATGGCTGTTTCCTGTACCATACGTTACAACCTGAGTGTCCTGTGGGTAGGTACAAGGAGTGAGCATCCTAAGACTGTATTCCCCTCTAACCTTTGCTGTTCTGGCTCTGAAGAAGCAGGTGGTGAGGATGCAGGTTTTCACAAAGCCATGCTGCGCATTGCAGGAAGGTGGGTCTAAGCAACTGTGAACTTCCACAAATCTTGTTGGGGCTTCCAAGGTTCTCTGAAGCCACACTTACGGCAGCTAAAGCAGAAGACAGTGACATTAATTGTACGTCACTTCCCAAGTTACCCAGAAATGGCAGCAATGAGAACCAATTTCATCAGGTCCCAGGAGGGTGTTCTGGCTCCTGGGTCCTTGTCATGTGCAGGTCAAGGCTTTCAAACCAGACGCAGCCCAGGTGATGTTACACCTTTCTGGTGATAATAACGCATTTGCATCTGTGGAGTCCAATCTAAAGAAGAAATATCTTTTCTGTATGTCTTATTATTTTCACTGCTTGTTACTGGTGAGATCGATCGCTTCCCCTGCACAGCTGCGAGGAGGCAGCTAGCTTTCCGCAAGCACTTTCTCCTTGCTGGCAGCAGGGGATGGTTTGAGCCTTCACAGAAAGCTGATAGTTTTTTTTCAGGTGCCTTAAATGAGTTTCGGAAGGAACCTCAGCACATGCATAAAAATCTGTCCCTTTATCCTGCAGCAGTGACCTCTCTGAAGAGCGTCCTTGTAGTTTCCTGTCTCTGCTTCCTTCCCTCACTCTAATGTTTTGTTTTGTTTGTGGAGGTTTGCCTTATTTCTTCCTGCAAGGGGAATTATTCCAGTAGGCTGGATTATGTTTGTGCATTACAGAGGGGAAAGAAGCTTTGAAAGGCACTCATCCCACGCTGGAAATCTCTGAAAATCAGCTTGACGTTTGGTGCTTGTTTCGTTGTAGCCTCTTTCCTGTCACCTGTACCACAGTGTCTTCCTGCAGCAGACCTGATCCCAAAGGAGAGCTTTTCTGTCTCTGTATTATGCAGGAATCTCCTTCCTTTTGTGCTGGGTCTGATTAAAATCTCCCATTAGCTTTACCTTCTGACTTCTGACCCTGATGCTTTATGCAAAACTCATTTCCTAATGAGAACAGTTTTGGGCAAGTCAGCTACTGAAGTGCTTTATTGCCAGCAGTGAGACTTCTGGGCTTCATTAGAGGCCTCTCAAACCATCCCTGGGCAATGGGAACGGGACTGTGTGTTGCTAGATGAACTGTAAGAATATTTTGCTTCTTTCTTCCAGCATCGGCAGCTGCTGTGGGCAAAGCTGCCTTATCTTCTGTGAAGCTGGCTGGTCCTGCGGCTTGGCATAGTTACTGGTGTTGCCCACGTGTTTCTTTGAATGACCTTCCTCTGGGCTGTGAGTGTGGTTTGTACCAGGAATACCCTGTCCTTGCTTGAAAATCAGCTCCTGGGGAAATATGTTCTTGCTTAGGCACATTTGAGATGGTGGAGGGGGTGTCATTGCCACGGCCTTAGGGGTGTGCTGTGGGTTAACCCAGCCCTGCACAGCCACTTGGTCATTCCCCCCGATGTGAAACTGTTTAGGATTACTAAAAGAATCGATGTCAGAGTAATTTTAATGGAAATTTATAAATGTGTGATTCGACACATGCAAACAGAGATTGTGTCTGTATTGGTAATGATTTATATAGGATTGGATTAAAGTGATTTATACAGAGTTGAAATAATGCCTACAGAAACTGAAGGTAAATGGGAATAAGGGGGACCTTCCTGTTGAGTCACAAGGCTCAGATTAGATCCCCTCACTTCCTAAACTCCGGCAGAGTCTTGATGAGGTTGGACCTAGTCCTAGTCTCAGACTGGGACAACCGTTTATGTCTAATGGAAATTAACTTTAAATTTAAACTCTAAATTCCTTAAAAGAAAGTTGTGTAGAGGGGTTAAAGGGTAAGGGAAAAATCAATCTGTTGAGTCACAAGATTCAGAACAGCCCCCTTGCTCTTTAAACTTCCCCTCAGGGAGGAGTGGAGGTGCAGCTGTTTCCAGTCTTAGTCTCAGACCTGGTCAATGGTTTATGTTTAATTAAAGAAAGATAGGGAATAAGGAAATCCTCCTGTTGAGTCATGAGGTTCAGTCTAGAACCCTTGCTTTGGCTGGATCTAGACTTAGGGGCTCACTGTTGGGACCACTATTTATAGGGTAATAACAAATGTTTGGCTTTAGCCAGTGTAAATTTTCATCCTGGTGTCCTATCTTTGTGAGGAGTGAGTGATTTACCATCTCAAAAGAACTCCTGGTATGACAAGGGAGTATCCAAGCCTTCCTGTTATCTGTGGTCCTCCCTGCCTTTGTTAGGCAAGTAGAGTTAATGGTCAGGGGGGCACCCAGATGTCCAAGCCCATGCATGTATGCAAAGGCTAACAGGAATTCTTAGGGAAGCAGATGGGTCCAGGACAGAGTGAGGGGGATGAACCACCACACACCCCCTCAAGTGGGATGGGGAGAGAAGCAGAAGGGTAAAAGTGAGAAAACTGGTGAATTGAGAGAAAGGCAGTTTAATAGGTAAAGCAAAAGCTGTTTGCACAGCAAAGCAAAATACATAATTCACTCACTGCTTCTCACCAGAAGACAGGCATTTAGCCATTTCCAGGAAAGCAGGAACAGTTACATCATGCATAACTGTTACTTGCGAAGAAAGACAACATGACTCCTTATTTCTCCCAGTTTTTATTGCTTAGTGTGATGGCACATTGTCTGGGATATCCCTTTTGTCAGTTGGGATCATCTGTCCCTGCTCTGTCTCCTACCAGTTCCTTGTGCACCCCTAGCCCACTCACTGGCCAGATAGCATGAGAAACAAGAGACAGTCTTCATGCGAAAGCATCCCTGCCTTATCAGCACTGTTTTGGTTCCAAATCCAAAACATAATGCCTTACCAGCCTCTATAGAGAAAATTAATTCCATGCCTGCCACAGCTAGGACAGGGTGCATGTCTGTTTGTTATGCTTTGCACAGAATTGGCCATAGCCTGCTATGAGCAGAACAGTGAGACTCAGGAGAGGTGGTAGCTCTTCTGAGTCCAGCTGTGCACCAGAGGAACTGGGTGGGTGGTGGAAGGGGCTGCTCTAGGGCTGGCACAGTTACTGGGCACAGACCCATTAGAGTAGAAACTGGGGGTTCCTGAACACTTGGTGGGGGGAGGATCTGAGAGGTTGGCCATACAACCCTGACAGGAGTGAGGGCTGTTGGTTGTCTGCTCCATCTCCAGGGGGTTCCCTCAGTTAAGATGGGAGGGAAGGTTACCCAAAAGCCCTGAAGTACTGGCTACCACGGATGGGGGTCTCTGTGCTTCCAACTGTGAGGGACTGCTGAGAAGGATTTTCCCCCAACTTCTCTGCTGTTTTGGTCATTCCTTTGTACTCTGTGATGGATCAAAGAGAGCAAAACCGCACTGGTTCAGCAAAGGTTCCTGCTACTGCAGCAGCAGTTCCAAATCAGACTGT